ACWCTYKTRKAAAAARYYCTTYTCCAGCTTTCCTGTAGGCCCCCTTTAGGTTCTGGAAGGCTGCTGTAAGGTCTCATGGAATCCTTTTCTTCAAGCTGAACAAGCCTTGTAAGTCTTGGTGACCAGTATAATCTTGCTTTCTTACAATCAAAAAAGAGGTTTAAGTTCTTCTCACAGCCAARTATTATACAGAATTTGAACCTAGAATCTAAGCTATAGCAGGTTAGATTTAGTGAAAAGGTTGATTTCAACCTTTCATGCTTTCTAATGTTCCAGTCAGCCTACAGGGACTAACAGAGCCTTCTGCTCTTCCACAGTACTGGTGTAAATTGTGATTTTTTTTTTCTGTATTTTGTTTTAAAAATGTGTGCCAGTTGGCTGATTGCTGTAGTGAACTGAARCTGCTGTACCTGGCCTGCCCAATTTGGTGAATTATTTAGTGAGAAAGGTTATTCATTCAGCAGAACTGAGCAGTCCTCCAGTTCATGCTGTTTATAATTGAAAATGATTTCTTAGTGAGTGAGTTAATTATTTCTCGCTGTCTCACTACCCTCTACCTATTCTAAAACTGTGTATTGACCTTCAGGAAAAACTGAATTTCAGCCTTGTGGTTRCTAGCAAATGCTGGATATTTTGGTTGGGGTGAATATTTACTGGTTTTCCAAGGAGGCTCAGACATAAATAAAAGTTTAGAGGACCTCCGGGTAAACATGTTCATGGTTCAGCACTTTAATGTGTCAATTAGCTRCTAACACTGTCAATAAATTGGGCCTGTCAAAAATAATAGCTTCCTTTCCAGTCTTCATCTCGTGCTTTACCTGTCTGCTACAAGAAATACATTACACACCACCCAAAAGCAGCACAAGCCAACTTTTCCATGCCCACAGCAAAAATTAACAAAGCGAGGCTGCTGTCTTCAAATCTTGCACAAATTACTGTCTCACATCCCAACACGTGAGCCGTACRACAATTGCACCTCTTTCATTGATTGTGTATTTCTTTAGCAGATGGGCCACAGAAGCACATTGCAAATGAAGGAATTCTGTCTGTGTGCCAGCAGGTGTAGATAAATGCAGTAGGTTGTGTTCACAGCATGGCCCCCAAGTTCAGCAGGCCTGCTAAAATGGGGTGTTAAGTGCTACAAATTTCTTTCTTGCACAAAGCTGTGGATCAGTGGGAGATTTAGAATCTTATTCAAGCATGGAGCGCTCATCCTGGAGCTGATACACCTCCAGCAGTGGCTAAGGCAGGTGGCAGTAAGGATAGCAGAAGGTGGCCAAGTGTCTGTGGTAGCCATCTGCACCTCAAAGACCTTCCAGCCAGACACAGATTCCTCTGTCATRGACATATCCAGTCTCTCTTTGAGCCTCTGTGAGCCCTTGGTGTCCACACATCCTGTGGAAAGGAGTTCCACAGCTTCGTTTTACAGACAAGCACCCCTTTTGTTTTGAATCTGCTGTCTTCTGTTTTCATTAGATGTCCTCTAGTTCCTGCCTTCATATATTGTTTTCTTACATATTAAAACTTCAGTGCAGGGTTTGGCAGTTTTTTTTTTTGTTTATTTATTATTACATAAAATTTGGTGTAATAGGCAGTGACAATGTGGTTTAGCTCTCAACATTTCCACCCACTGGAGATCAAAGCAAAAGGAATGAATACCCTAATAGTGGGAGTTCATTTTCATTTTAAATGAGATGTAACAACAGGTTATGAAGAAAAACATCTTGTGATGGTTATTCAGCTGTGTAAGATTGCAGCGTTCCACCCCGTAAGCAGTGATATGAGATTATCACAGTCTTGCAATTACAAGATATTCTCGGAAGGGAGAAGAGGCCAAGCAGCAGCCCATTGTCCTGTGCAAGGGCCCTGCCCTGGGAGGTCCCTCTGGGAGCAGTCTCGGGCAGCACAGCCAAATAGTTTGTGGCTGAAGCTGGGCGCAAGCTGTTTGCCCAGGTTTAAATACAGCGGTGATTTGCTTTATCCCAAGGGATTGCTGCTGTCCATGGAGCTGAGTGCGTGGCTGAGTGCCTTGCAGAATGAGGGCCTTCTTGGCAGATCCAAATCAAATCAATGCATGTCCAGGGAGTCCCAGGACCCCAGCCAGGGTCACTGCTGCTGTCATGTTGTACCTGTGACACAGATACAGAACAGGACTGATGAGAGACTTGGTGTGTGCAGGGTGGCTCTGCAAAGGTGACAGCCCTGATCAGGCCACATGGAGCTGCTCTTCTAAACCTCAGGGAAGCAGCCTCTTGCAGATGTTGTACTCAGTGCCATGGGATCGTGTTTTGGAGCCCTGAGTGCCATTGCATGTTTGTTACGAGCTGGGTGATGTGATGGTGCCYTGTGAAGGGTGTGCAAAACTTAAAAAATACAGTCAGTGGTGAGGTTTGGCTGTTCCAGCCAAAATCTGATCCCATGGGTGATAGTGAGTGCCTGATGCTGCACAGAGGGAGGGGAACTGTAGCAAAACCTGTCACGGTCCCAGTTCTCACATTAGCCTTGTTCTTTCTCCTCACAGGTTACATCCAAGCCTGCAGAGGATTGATGATCTCCGCTGTCTGCCTGGGCTTCTTCGGTGCCGTTTTTGGACTGGTTGGGATGAAATGTACAAAAGTCGGAGGCTCTGATCARACAAAAGCAAAAATAGCTTGTTTAGCTGGACTGATTTTCATACTCTCTGGTAAATATCCTTCGTTTCTATCGGTTTGCATATTTGAAGTCATACCGGAGCCGCTTCTTTTCCRCAGAAACCCGTGCGCAATCCTCCGTGACTTCGTTGACTTCAGGGTCAGGCCCAAAGCTCTGCTGCCAGCTCCACTGAATGGTTTGTCTTATGCTTTTCAGGGTTGTGCTCTATGACTAGTTGTTCCCTGTATGCAAACAGGATTACGTCTGAGTTCTTTGACCCTTCTTTTGTTGCACAAAAGTAAGTACTTTCCTATACCCATAAATCTTTCAAACCAGTAGACTTTACGTTTCCTACGCGCACCAGAGCCTGTTTGGATGGAGAGCAGCTGCTTCTCCCCGTGGGCAGAGGAGGAGAGTGGGCTGCAGTGTTRCTTAATCACAGTTTCTAACAGGAGTAACAGGTGCTGAAATTCCATGAATAAATGCTTTGCTGTGCAGTGGTTGTTCCATAATTCCCTATAATTTCTGTTTRTTTAATCCAGTGCCCAGCTCTGCTGTGGGCTGGCAGGGCAGCTGGGGTTAACAGGGAGTGATGCCTGCCTGGATGCCAGGGGTGCAGAGAAAGGACTGCACAAGACAGAGGGGCTCGTTAGTGCATCATTCGATAGGGAAGGGAGAAAAGTATTTCCTTGAGCTTTTGATAGAAAGTGGTTTCCATAAAGGTGTTGAGCACTGTGCAAGAGGAGAGGTTTCTGCAGGTTCTGAGGACTTTTTGCTGACAGATTTTCAAATACAGGTGACTGAAATCTGGATCGTGAGCCTTATCAGAACCCACAATCTTAYAAGCACTAACGCAAATGCTTTGCCTATACTTGAAATTAGATTTAAGGAAATGAGTATTTWTAGAATTTTAGGATCCATACCAGAAATAATGAGCATCCTAAAGACTTCCTTTAAAGCTCTGCAAGTTCTCAGGTCTTGCAAAAGCACAAACCAGCGACAAACCAGCGCTTGGATTTTGGATTGATGTCTTAACTACTGAGTCTCAAAATGTTGGYTGTAAATTATAGCATCCTAGACATTCCTGTTTTGCCTTCATGTATGATGTAAACTCTTCTTTAAAGTCTTGGCAGTGATTCCAGGATATGTCAAACATTGGGTGTACATTTCCCTGAGACCCAAGTAAGTGATCAGTAAAGAGCCCTGAGCCTTTATGTTTCTCTTTGATAGAAAGAAAATAGTCTGAATAAATAACACTAAAGGATCTACATTTGGAGTAGGGTTGACACTGCTTCTCCTTTCTTCAAAACAAGTTCATATTGATTTTCTCCATAATTCCCCTATAGTTTCTGCTTATTTGATACAGTGAGAACAGGATCGAAAGGCCTCCAAAAGAAAGAAGGATGAGAGGTTCTGTGAAGAAAACAGAGCCTGGCCATATAGAGAGAAGTTAATTATTCATCAKGTTTACTGTTCTCAGTAAAAAATACCATGGTTGTTGCCAGAAATCCTTTTCCTACACTGTATTCCTACACCCATCTACTGCAAAAGAGCAGGCAAACCTCACAGTGGAAATTTGCCATGAAGGAATGAGAAATCCAGTTTAAATATTGAAATAATGGTAGTAAAACATCCTCTCCAGAAATTATCTTCTTTTTCTGGACAACCAGCATAGCTCAGCTGTGGGCAGACATAGTCATGACTGCAAAGATAAAGGCAGAAAGGAAATCCCGAAGTTTTAATTTGGTGTGAGTGACCATTCACATGCAGTGACCACTGAGCTGATGGTGGCATTCAGCTCCTTCCTCTCTCCACCAATGTAAAATTTTCATTTTGTTGTCATGACCTTACTTGGTTATGCATTGCAGGAGCATTTAATGTGCTTTGCTGGTATATTGTGGAAATTCAGTATTGTCTCTTCCCTGAGAGAGGGTTTCAGCCTTTTGCCTTTTACTGCACATTTCTCTCCTGAAGTTGTTCTGGAATTGTCAAAGACAGGCTTGAGATGCTGTTAGTGGGTAAAAACCAGTGCAAGATGTTCAGCATCCTGTGTCAGCCATCAGGATTTCCCTCCAGCCTTCTGCATTTGGAACTGGCACCTTGACTATGTCTGGGTGCAGGAGGAATCAAAGATCTGCTAAGGAGGAGATTCCCAGGAGATTTCGGGTTTGAATAATGTACCTAGCTGAGGATAGGTACACAGGGACACTCTAAACCCTGCCTTATTTATAAAAGAAACCTTAGGCTGGATTTTATTGGATTTTTTGTTCTGCTGTGATTATTTTCATTGCTAATTTAAAATGATTTCAAAGGAATTGCTTGATCCTTCATGATCAGACTCTTGGGGACAATATGGGATGCCTTGATGCTTGCAGCYAAGACATATTTAATTTTTCTTCAGGCACCTCTAACTGGGAAAAATCTGTGCTTCTTGCTGACATTGCTCCCACAGCTTCTCTTAGGAAATTATTTTGCTACTTTTAATTAAGAAAAGCCTAACTCTTTCAGTCTTTAAGGTTTTTGTCCCTTGCCGGCTCACATAATCATGACCTTGATAGATGGGGTCATTTATCCAAATTATCAGACTAACTTCCCATTTTCTCTTATAGAGAATTGTTTCCCTTCAACTTTYTTGTCTCTGAATGGGTTGTGCATAGTTTACATAGTCTCCCTTTGGATAGARTTAAATCTGTTCTTTATTTTCCAAGGGTCATAAGAATCAGAGAATCAAAATGCATTTCCCCTGGGTACTTGGACTGATTTGGTAGGAAGTTGTGAAGGTCTGCTCTTCTTGTAAGTTGATGTCCAGTCAGGTAACGAAGCTCCCACTGGTTTGCTTGGAAGTTTAGATCATGGTCTTAATGAGTGTAGCAACTAGAATATTTTGATTCTGTACTGATGTTGTACTTTAGTTCTTTCACTGAATTCTGCCTCCCTGGATTACGGAAAAAAAAACAAAACAAAACAACTTCTTTTAGCCTACTTGGTCAGTGTAGTTGAYGGTGGCTTTCAATTCTGCAGCTGAAGTTCCATGGTCCTCAGAGGTCAYCACCTCAAAGACTTTTCATAAATTTCCCACTCCCACCTGAGCTGCCAGTGATTTCTGGTGGGATGGATTCCACTCACTGGAGACAGTGGATATGCAGCCATGGGCTTCAGACAGTGGCTGCTTTGGTTCTTGCAGCCTAGAACTTTAAGAATACAGGAGTGTGTTTCCTGCAAGGTTTTCAGTGATTAAGAGGGAAGGGGGAAATAGTAAGTGCATGCATTTATTCTAAAAGAAGTCTATCTCCTTTTCCTCTTTTTCTGGAGGTATCTATGTTTATAAAAGGTTTTTTTTGTGTAACTTTTTTTTTTTTTTACACACTGGATTTTGGTGGAAGATTAGGGCTGTCTCCTTAAGTACTRAAAAGATCACAGAATCATAGAATGCCAGGTTGGAATAGACCTCAAGGAGCATCTGATCCAGTTTTTCCTGGCCATAGCACGGTCTAGACAAGATCGTCCAGCACCCTRTACAGGCAGATCTTAAAATTATCCACTGTTASGGAATCCACCRCTTCCCTGRGGAGGTTATTCCAATGGCTGACTGTTCTTACTGTGAAAATTGTCCTTATCCAATTGAAATCCTCACTGGTAACCTGTGCCCATTATCCCACACCTTTTCCATTTGGCTACTTGTAAAATGGAGTCTCCATCTTCTTTGTAGYCACTGTTAAATACAGAAACACAATRATAAGTTCTTCCCYAAGCCTTCCTTTCTCAAATTGAAGAAACTCAGTTCTCTTTTCCCACATGGCAGGCTTCCCAGTCCTCTGATCATCTTTGTGGCCCCTCTCTGGACCCTCTCCAGCTTGTCCACATCTTTTTTGCATAGCAGGGACCAAAACTGAGCTCAGTRTTCCAGGTGTGGCCTGACAAGCACTGAGTAGAGCRGGATAATGACTCCTTGATCTCTCTTGTGCAAACAATCCCAAGAACAAAGGCTGAACCCAATCTCTTCTTTTCCAGCTGGAGGCAACATCCAGGTACCCCATTCCTGCCCAAATCAATCCAATATAGCCTTGATTTCTTTTCTGTACAACTTCACAAGGGGAAGACAGTGCTTGGTCTCCTTAACTCCCTCAGCCTCTGGCCAACCAATTAGTGTTGTTAGATAAAATTATGGAAACTTGATCTGCCTTTACAGGTCAATAAAGGAGGTGCCTTGAAGGGGTTTTGGAMGTGCACTTCGTGTGCATTTCTTGCATGTTGACCATAATGGGATCCCAAGTGATGAGCTCTGATGTAGAGCTCTGCTYCCAAACAGAGAATCCCCTGTCCCTGTCAGACAAAAGACAAAAGTCTCTCCTTGAGTCATGTGAAAACTGTAGCACATGGTTGGAAATGTGAGCACAGGTAGAATTAAAACTTTACAAGTTTGACAGATTTTGAGGTGAAATGGGACTGGGTGCGGAGTTTTTCAGGGTGAAAGGATCTTTGGTTCCCAGCAGTTTAAGTTGGGGGTTGGGTCCGTAAGTCCCACACTGGTGTTAAGGAAAGGTTCTGAGGCAGAGTCAGTTTATTTCAGCTTGGGCTCGGTGTCTATAGGGAGGGAGCCCAAACAAAGAAATCCCTGGGCMTTTTKCCCMTCACAGTTTGTGCACCTGATCCTCATGTACCCTTGCTGTATCTTCTTGCCGGTGTCTCTTGATCCAGTGCTGAGTTATGGTCCGGGGTCTTCTAACACCTCACTGGATTCTTTTTCCACGTCCACGTGGGCAGACCATTAATTGTTCTTATCTTCCACCTTGGGCCAGCCTTGAGGCTTTCCAGGGTCTTAGCCTGGTTATTTTCAGATGAGGGTTTTCTCTGTTTATTCCCCTGCTTGGCCTTTCCTGCTAACAAATACAGTTCATTTGAAGTTCACCTACACTAAGTTTTGAGCAGGGCACACTTCATGCTGAGCTGTAAGCAAATTAGAATTAAACTTAAGCCTACACAATTAATTTCTAATATTCTGTAAATAAACTTAATTTAATCCCCAACAGCTGTACATGGAGAATATTTGGGGGAATTGAATCCTTTTTTCAGGATTTTTTTGGATGATAAATAAAAACTCTACTTCAATTATGTGAACAGAAAATTAAAAAGGAGCCTAGAGGTTGGAGCACTAGTGAGGTGATGAAGAGTCAGGTACAAATCCCAGGAGTTCTGCCTCTGAGCTCCARTGTTTCTATTGCTTTTTGGCACTAAGCCCCTGGGTCAGAAATTACTCAAGCCTGGGTGTCTGTAGCATCTAGCAAATATGTCATAAGTGTAGTTTTTTGTCCCTGTGTGACTTATTTATTTTTTTCCAAARTCTGTGCTTTGCCTCTGGTTGGGCTCTCAAGAAAACATGGAAAAGTGATTTTTTAATTCCTCAGCCAGTGCTCACCCTCTTGTGACCTATTATAGAAATCGCTATGCCGTTTTTGGGGTGTCTGGGCTCACAGGAAATTTCTGAGTGTTTCTGCAGTGCCATTTTGTAAAGATACAAGTTTTTCAGAACAGCTGGCAGGTATTTTCAKCTAGATAATTTGGTAAAGTGGAATYAGGGCCTGTGCACAGGGAAATGTTCAGAACTTGCTGAGCAGTGCAGCTACACAGTATTGCAGTTGCATAGAGGGGCTGTCAATCAGAGGCTTTCATTTGGCTGTGTCACCAGAGCTTACTATAAATCAATTTAGTAGCAATTGCTCAAACAGCACAGACACCTGGTTGGAAACTGTGCCTGAATGGGGGACAGGGGACTGTGTTTTCCATGCAGGATTCCAGAAGTCCGGAGGAGATAAAGGTTTCCTTAAGGGGAAACTGCAGCAGAGAAGGAATAAGAGACACAGTGTGTTCTAAAGGTGAGGAGTGGGAGAGTAGAGACTGCTGGGCTGCAGCCTAATGCAGGTCATCCTAAAAGCGCTTTAGGAGTGTAACTCAGGCAAAGAGCTGGGGAATGGAGCAGACAAGGGGCAGACATGGCTTGCTGCTCATCTTGAAGCTCCAGCACTGAGGGGAAACAAGAGAATCTCTTCCCAATGSCCTTCTTGTCCTTCATTTACTACTGTTGCTTTAAAATGTGGACTTAGGYTTGTAGGATGATGCTGCCTAAGCACCACCATCTCCTCTTGGAGCCAAATGGAGCACCTCCTGGCAGCAAACAGTTTGTGGGTGGCCCAGGCAGCAGAGGGGACCATCGCCTGTGGGCAGGAGCTTTGCCCACAGATGTGTGGGGGTGCAGTTTCTTCCAGATAGAATCCACCCACAGGGTCTAGAGAAGGGGGAAGGTGTTGGAACGTGCACCTGTGTGTGCATTTGTTTATGTCAGACACACCTGGCTATGTATATGCATRTATTGCACACGTGTGTGTGTATATTGTATATGCATATTATGCAAATGTACAAAACCCTGGTGTTTTGAGCAGGTTGGGGTGTGGATCACAAGGGAGGGAGTCAGATCCTGAGAGCCAGAAGGGAAACTTAAGGAGAGTTGTAGGAAGAATTCATAGTCTCTGGCTCAGCAAAAGCCCCAGTCCAGTTTGGTTTGGGACCCAACAGGAGCAAAACTGAAACGGAGGAGCTGCTGCTGTGAAGAGGCCAAAGAATGATGAAACCCCACAGGAAAGCAATCCAGGAGGAGATGCACAAGGCCAGGCCTTCCCCTAACCCCTGACCCTAAATCCTAAATCTAACYCTAGCTGTGCAGGGAGAGAAGCATTGCCCAAGTGTACTGTAGGGACAATTTGCCTCCTGAGTCAGAGGGAAATAATGACAACAACATGGGTGAATGGCACTGYTGCCCATTTTGTGGTGAATAATGTATGTGTCAATGGGAAGTTATTCAAGAAAAATATAATACTTAGTTATTTTATTCTGGAAATAGCCCTGTTAAATGCATGCTGTCTTTTGTTAAACACATTTATTGACTTCCTGTAGGTATGAATTAGGAGCAGCTTTGTTCATTGGATGGGCTGGAGCTTCACTCTGCATAATTGGTGGCATTATATTCTGCTTCTCAATAGCTGAAAACAGTAATTCTGCAAGGTAAAACACAAGTTGTATTTACTGAGCGAAATCAATACCTATGTACTTGTACTTGCTATATGTATGCAGTTTGATTACTGTTCCAAAACACTTTGTAATGAGATTCAGAAAAAGATTGTGTGGATAAAAGAAAATAAGGGGATTTAAGGACAATGCTGTGTCCATCATGAATGTAATTAAGAAAAGCTATTGACTCAGAACAAATACTTGTGATGTATATATTTCATAAATCACCGGCAGCTGGAAAACAGTGCATTCACTGATGCAGGGAAAGTGGTCAGGTCACTTTACAGGCATGAACAGACAAATTTCTTTGATGTCAAATCATCAGATYAAAAGTGAGCAGTGCCAGTGGGACCTCCAGCAGCTGAAGAGGGGTGATAATGAAGAGGAACAGCTGTAGGGAGTAACTATTCATATAGAATTTGCTACAATTTAAATTATTTCATGATTGGGCCCTAATTTACGAGCTGGGGACAAGRGAAAAGTTACCGAAAAGTGCATTGYGAAGACACATGCTGGAGTGGCAAAGTCAAACTAGAATGGGACCCCAGAGCAGGAATGTGCCCCCTCCCCTAAAATTTGTAGGGACATTGCCATACATTTCTTCTAGTTTTACTGTAATGCCTGGATGCAGAGATGTCTCCTGCTGGTGGGATGAGCTGTAAATGGTTGTTTTTTTTCTCTTCAGGAGGGGCTATGCCTACAATGGAGCCACATCTGTGATGTCTTCTCGTACAAAGGTCCACAACAGCGTCCCTGACAAAACCCCACCCAAGCACTTTGACAAGAACGCTTATGTTTAGTTGCACTCTTGGAAGACTCAGAGCGTTTTAAACATTATTTTGTACGTTTCATTCAGTGATTCTCCTCATCCCAACCCCAATGTACTTACCACTAAGACAATGACTTTTAAAAATATTAACTTGCAGCTTTTTACATATTGATGTAAATTTTATTATATATTTTAAGATTGATGTTGGTACTGTAAAGTTTATACCTGGAAATCATGAGCTGATGTTGCATTCTTGAAAAAAAAAATAAATGAGGTATTTACTAATTCGGTTYGTCATGTCAGCTGCTTATGGGAATGGCATCACACATTGGCATACTGCCGGAATTTCTGACATGGGTTCAGTGCTGGAAAGAAAAGTCAATTGGAATAAGAAAGGGAGTAAGAAGAGACTGGGTGAAAATAAGTGAGTAATTTGGGGAAGCAGGAGCAGGTACTGGTAGCAGTCGGAGCCAATTGTTAACAAAACCATCAGGTGGGTCTTGCACAGCCTCAGCAGAGCGTGTGCCCAAGATGATGGCACACTCTGCTGGTGACAGGGCTGGAATTGTTTTCCTTCCCTCCCGCTGGGCGGGGAGCTGTGACACCTTCGGCTCAAAGCATCTCAAAGCCGCTGACTTGAAAAAGGGAAGGAAAAAACTCAGGCAATTCCAGCTGGGGGGCTCTGCCAAAGATACTCCTGAAGGGCTGACCAAATAAAAGCAGGCAAAACCAAACAGCACAATTTTAAATAATCCCGACTAAATTACAACAGTCGAAAAATTCAGCTACTATTTTTTTTTTTGTCTGTCCATAACTGTGGTGACTTTTGAGGGAATATTTGTACAATAAATACCCCAATAAATGAGAACAGAGATTGCAAATAACCACAAAACGCTTTCTAAACTGAGTCCCTGAAATCAGACACAAACTCGGGTTTGTCATGAAGTTTGACCTGATGGACCTTGGGGGTTTCAATAAAAATTGGTTATTTTGGGACAATGGTGTAAATACAAGGAAATAATAAACCTATTTAATAATGGCACAGTATTATAGAAAAGGTTTTGTACCTGACACTATCTCAATTACATCAAAACTACAAAGTCACTCAAGATTCTTTTTGTTTTACATTATTTTTGTACTTCATTAAAGTAAAAAAAATTAGAAAACTGTGTGTTTTCAGGAAGGCAGCCAATATGGACAAACCAGAAATACCAAGTACGTCTGCAATGGCAGGTCAGTGCTTTCCTTACTGTGGCTTGRTATTTTAACTTTTTTTTCCAACTGTTGTGCTTTTATACTAACAAAGACTCAACCCCAATACAAAAATACCCCAACAAACCAACTTCCCCTTATAGGAAATATTTCATGATGATTAGTTTTAGACCTGAGGCATTTTTCTTTTCATTTGGTGTTTATTGTAAACCATGGTAGAAACGTAACAGTTTAATTCATGGACATATTTTCTTTAAAATGTTCACAATTTTATATAAAGTTCATGATAAAATACAAGAAAATGTGCATTAAAAATTGTATAAAGTAATACTCTGCAGAATATTCTGTTCATTGGTTAACAGGCTTTCCTGCAAGACCAGTTTCAATCTTTAATGTAAACATTAGAGGCAAAATCTTCACCTCAGTGAAATGAAAGACTTTCACCACTGAACTCATGAGTGTGCTGGTTTTGGCYGGGGTAGAGGGAATTTTCTTCACYGTGGTTGRTATGGGGCTGTGTCTTGGATTTGTGCTGGACACAGAGTTGGTAACTCAGGGATGTTTTTGTTATTGCTGAGCAGGACTCGCACAGAGCCTTTTCTGTTTTTCATACCACCACAYTGGAAAGGAAATTGGGGGTGCATRGGAGGTTGGGAGGGGACACAGGTGGGACAGGTGACCCGAGCTGACCAAAGGGATATTCCAGACCATAGGACATCATGCTCAGTATATACAGTGGGGGAAGAAGGAGGAAGGGAGAGATATTGGGAGTGAAGGCGTTTGTCTTCTCAAGTCCCCATTACCTGTGATGGGGCCCTGCTCTCCTGGGATGACTGAACACTGCCCTTGGGAAGCAGTGAATTCATTCCTTGGTTTGTTTTGCTTGTGTGTGTGGCTTCTGCCTACCCTATTAAACTGCCTTTACTTCAACCCAYGAGCTTTCTCACTTTTACTCTTTCAAGTCTCTCCCCCAGTTTCACTGGTGARGGAGTGAATGAGTGGCTTCGTGGGGCTTGGTTGGGGTTAAACCAGGACAAAGAGAAAGAAGAATTACTTTGTTTCCAAACAGATATGGTCAGTAAGGCATATTTCAATACTCTTTTTCAGAGTCAGACTGAAAGACACAAGAGCTCTGTAAACAGTATTCCTTGTTATTTCAGGACCAATGAGAAAAATTGCTGGGAAGCACTTGATGTTTTCATCTGCATATTGAGCCCCTGCAGAACCCAAAAGCAGGGCCTCCCATCAGGAATGGAACAATTATATATCTGAAGAATCACTCCARTCTGTTACAGTGACTAGGCTGCTTTTTAACGTGCTTGTGTTATCAGCTTCATGAAGGCCTGTTGAAAAAAACAGACAAAATATTTAATAGTAATACCCTTTTGGGCATATTTTTACTTTGTATTTGTCTATGAGATAAAATATGTTTGCCTACATGCTATGTAAGCMAACACCTGTGGACTTCAGGAAGTCCCAAATTTCAACCGGTGAGGAAATAACAAGTGTTGATATTATGAAGGTTGTTTCTCTCACAGAATACAAAGCAGTCAGTGTCAACATTGCTTTCCCTTCAAAAATAACCAGAACTGGCACAGCTTTAACCTTCACATATATCAAAATGTTAGGGTTAGAAACTACTATATAAATTATATGTAATATTGAGGCTTTTACTTTATTATTTTACAAATATTGATCTCACCTGGTAAGTCAGTTAGATATCTTAAACAAACCTGAAATGTTATTATTCTCAAGACAAAGCAATTTCCCTTCTCCCTCAAATTTGGGAAGGTAAAAAAATCCTGGATGATTAATTTTTAAGATGAGGCTGAAGTCTGACAATACTATGTTTTAAAATCTCAAGTTGAGAATTCTGTATATTTATGTGTGTGTATTGTTTATGTATCACTAAGTATCATGAAAATATTATATTTATATGGCAAAAAAACAGAGTTTTTCTTACTTGTTCTTTTCTTACAAAACTCCATCTATTGAATTACAATGTGTAATACACTGTACTTAATCCTCCTCTAGGTGGGTCAGTCACTTATGAAYATGTTACCTTCTTCTTTTGGTGCACTTTTCTTGGGAAGACCCCATGCATGTACCACAGATGCAGCAATGGGCTCATTTTTCTGAACTGTCAACGCYTTCTGAACTCTATCATTCTTGATGGATAAAATATCTTCCTCTACTGATGATATATCCCAGTCATCTTCATCAGCTTCTGTGAGCTAACAGGGACAAGAAAAAAACATGTATTTTCCTCCGTTCAAGTTGTGCTGAGATCTTACCTAAACTCAATAATGTGAACTGCTAAAGGAAAATGCACTGGCACATGGCCTTTATGACATCTATCACCACAGTTTTAAAATCCACATTAATTCAATTACCTAAATCATATTTATTCACTGTTATAGTTCTGAAACAGAAGGAGGTTAGGTTTTTTCCTAAGGTCAGGAACTGCACACATTGAAAGTTCTGCCAGTTCTGTATCTGGCATAAACCTTTGTTTTCAGATATTACATTCCAGCCTTTAAAAAGGATTATCTTTTCTGAGATATTCCAGTGAGATGGAAGTCCTCTAAGCATTAAAATGTRTATTACTTATATGAAAATAAAGAGATAACATGCAAGGTAGCAGTTTACTAGCATTCTGTAGTCAAACCAGGAAAAAATATTGGAGTAAAGGCCTTTTCAATTTAAAACTAATTTATTTAAAGAGAAAATTAAATAATGAAAATTTTAAAAACCACATGGGGCTCAAACTTTAAATATACATTCCCCTCAAGACTCAAGTGTCAGCATGTACAAGCATATTTTAATGAAGTGGTGGATTTRTATATTAAATTCACAAAATGAGAGTCAATTCAAACAGATGAACCTGAAGGCAATGAGTCCATGGTTCTTCTTACAACATCTGCCTGAGAACTTCATTCATCTTTAGAAAGAAGAGCTACAGCATTACCCTATTTGTCAATCAGATGTAGTTTGACTTATTTTTCTATTTTTAGAGAGCTTAACTGTGGAAAGCTAATGATGGTTTCTCACACAGCTAAAACCTGATTTCACTGGAGTCTCCCAATACTACAGTAAGGACTGAGATGGTGCTTCCATTGCACAGAAGGAAGGTTCAGATGCTATTAGAAAACAATGTAAGGTATGTACAAGCTAGAGAAAAATCAACAAATATGAACGTGTTGTATGTCTCGAAAGAAGGAAAGAGACTGCAGTAATGCTTTACCTTGCAACATAATTCCGTTTTAACACTGCAAACTGTTTTTCAAAAACTGACAGATCTGCTCAGTGTGCTGTGTTATTAACATACCAGGATTCAACATTGTGCTTTTTCAAATTATCTGCATTTGGAGGGTGTGGTAATGGGAAAGTTGGAGTTATATATATTGAGAAATGCTGGAGGAAGAGTTTCCTCAAACATTCACAAAGGCCCAAATGATTTTTAAAGTAAAAAATAGAAATAAACGTGTTAGCTTCAAATAGAATTCAGTTTTGATCGAGTGTAAATAATACACAGCAGCAATCAAAACTGCTGAACAGTTTAATTAACTCAAAGACTTATATAAAKATGTCTACATTAAAACATATAAATATGGGAATCAGTATATGCATAAAACTATCAAAGTATACAAGATGTTGTATTATTCTGTAAAGATTCCAGAAACAAAGTAGCAATGCCTGTCCTGCTTTCATAAACTTACTCGGAACTCATGATGTCCATACAGAATACATCGACACAATGTATTCTAAATGAATTATAGAAACAATATTTTTCATACAATGATGGAAAGGTTTGGGTTGGAAGGGACCTCGAAGATCATCCAGTTGAACTCCCCCACCAGGGGAAAGGGCAGGGACACCTTCCACTAGATCAGGTTGGTCAAAGCCCCCTCCMACCTGGCCTTGAACACTGCCAGGGATGGAGCATCCACAGTTTCTTTCAATAACTTGTTCCTTTGCCCCATCATCCTCACAGTAAAGAATTTCTTCCTAATATCTGCTCTAAACCTACTGTCTTTTCATTATATTCTAACTTTCTGTCCTGAAGGATCTGTTCCATGATCTTTCTGGGCACAGAAGTGAGATCAACAGGTCAGTAGTTCCCAGGGTCCTCTTTCTTACTTYTTTTAAAAAATGGGTTTATTTTCCTCATTGGGTCCCATGGACTTATCTAAGTTCAGGCTTCTCTGGGGCTCTCAAACTTCACCTTCTGCCACAACAGGAGAGAGATTTCATTCCCCCAATATTTACCTTAAGGTTCAGGGGCTGAAAAGATGTGGGAAAAGAGGTTATTAGTGAAAACCATGGTATTTTTAAAGCATAGATTTTAAGGCGTATTTTGGTACAGGACTTTGCTCTTGAAGCCCAATTCCTGAAGGCAACGGCCTACCATCTAAAGAGCTTTACAAAATCCAGCCAATTTAACKGTGAACATTTTACAGTCCTGTAAAATCTGACATTACAAAGAATTTGAAGTAACACTGTATAGAAAGTTGGACTACAACAGTCATGTCTGAGATGATAATTTTGGTGCAATTTACAGCTCCCACACAGTCACTGCACAWTTTAGGTGTCATCAATGGCAAAAGGACACAGGCTAAATGTGATTATGCTACCCTCATGCCAAAGTTGATTAAGACAATCCCCCCATTCTAGAAACTGAAATAGAAATGTCACTGTTTCTGGGGAAGTGATGAATTTCAGATTTAATTCACAATCAGGAAGTCCTAAGGTATCAGTTTTATTATGGATAACAGGATTCTTAGTAATTATTATTTGCTAATTTAGTGAAAAAATATTGTATTGAATGCTAGAACTAGTACATGTTTATCCACTTCAATCTAATAACAACTACTCAAACTGAAATAAAATCACTATTTGCTGTTGACTCCTCATTTAGAGTAACTTTTTTTCCTTTTAAAAATTGTTCAGGCAAAGACTCTAATTTGCAGCAAAATGCTTTACCAATTATAGAAATCTAAACTGAGGAGAAGACTAGGACTTTAGGAGGCTGAGGGCTAAAGAATACATTGTGTTAGCATGCTTCTGGTGAACAYAGACCATACTCAATGGACAGCAATAGATTTGGTGTAGTCTGAAGAGCAGTACATAATTGTAGACTGATGCAGAACAAAGACCAATGGAATTTGTCCTCTCATTATGATGTATTTAAGAGATCCATATAAGATAAAGCTCTAGAAATAATGTTTTAAAATATTAGATGAGCAAATTCATTTTTTCCTCCATCAAAACAGAACAATAGGAAAGCAAGTAAAGAAGGGCTTTCTATGCTGCTAGATTAGAAGATAAGAATGATAACAGTTGTGCCAAATTTTGGGCTGTAGAGATCCAAACCAATCAAGGTATAAGCTAAATAAGCAGAGTGGATGAAATCACCTGCCACTGCTCCCTCCCTAGCACCTTTCTATACACCCGTCTTGGAGAATTAAGTTCTTCGCTGCATCAAGATGATTTCAGCATGAAAAAAAAGAAAAGTAACATACATATATTTTGATTATTTAACGTAATAATGCTGCATATTAAAAGTAATACCTTTGGTTCTTTCACCTCTTCTTTCTTAATAAATGCCTGTGCAACATTAATTCCTCCAGCTGGTTTGTTCTTATTTCCATGGTTAGAAAGACTCTCTCCAACTTTTTTGCTCAGTTTTTGAATAATTGTTCCTAAAATTCAGAAAAMAATTAAATTGACAGTTTCCATTCACAATGAGGGACTTACTGTAAACTGTCTAGAAATCTTCCCCAGAGTAAAAACAAGTAAAAGAAGTCTGTCTGAGACAAAGATTGTCTCTTTTCCTGCATTTATATAAAAGTGAATGACACACATCTCTAAGTAGTAAATCAATAGAAACTCATTGGCAAAAACACAACGTGTACACCTATATACATATATATGCCCTCAAGACTAGGTAGTCTGCCTTCACTGTTTTCCAACACAGAAATAYTACCATGAAATGCAAAATCATGCACAGCTGTTACAACATCCATATACAAACAGAACGAAAAACCTTTAGAAGTTTTGGCAGGGGTTCCAGTTTCTTCAGTTTCATTTCCTTCCATCCCATCCACACTGCTTTTGCTAGAAGGCTTCTGAAAAGCATGAACTATGCTGCTTGATGGTTTTGATTGCTTTTGCAATATCTCTGGTGTTGCATAAGGTTGTTTAACATCCTCTTCATCGGCTTCTTCCTCTGAACTGAACGGTGGTGTTCTAAGCAAAACCACATACAACATGAGCACTTAATGGGTTTCAGTGACTGCATCACCACACACAAGTTCAAGCTTACTTGTATTTCCCTTCCAGTAATGTGTATTTTTCTCAGTGAAAAAAAAAACAAAACAGAATCTCCCCTAAATTCTAACTGATTTTTTTAAAAGAAATCATGCTGCTAATTAAACTCAGAAAATTATCCGAAAATGATCTCTTATCCACACATGACTGTTTCCATTCAAGCAACCATCTTTACAAAATAAGAGACCAATATAAAACAAATCTTGTTAAGCAAACACAGATAGGCTTTCATGGATCAGCAGGTAAAAAAAATTTCAGGGTCACGGAATCTGTTGTCAGAAAGTCTGTTGTGACATTAGTTAGATGAAAATAATGTGGGAATTTTTGAGTGAATTTTTTTGTGGGAATTTTTGAAATTGTAAAGTAACATACCTGATGTGAATGGAATATGGAATATTGTATTTCATTTTGGTTGCAGTATGAAAATACCAATAAACTGAAAAAAATAGGTTACCAAAGTATCTAAATGCTTTGAACACAGTCAGCAAAAGCAGCTAAGAATATAAGAAAATTATTACTGATCTTATTGAATCTCTCTCTTTCTTGATCACAACAAGCTAACCTTCAGGAATTATAGTAACACACTCWGTTGGAGTAATACTTTAAACCAAAATATGAAATATGCAGCCCAGACAGTGTTCATGATTTTATCTTAATAACAGCTTTCMTGTGGCAAACATGAACATTCAGTCACCAAAAATGTCTTCTTCAAAAAGACAAGGGAACAAAACATACGAGAGGCTAGGGGTCTTCCTAGAAACTCCACTTCCAAGAATCCTCCTGGGCCTAAAAATAATGAGACAAATTATTTCAAGACTGACAGTAAACTACCCAAGCATAAAGTTTATATAGAAATTATGTGAATTCTTTCCTCAATTCTTACAACTGAGGAAATATTCACATCAGCCACAAAACCCAAAACCCACAGGACTCTTATCTGAGGTATGAGTGTTTTTAGAATGGCATCTCTTACTTTGGTGTAGATGTATACTCAGGGATGACTGGTCTTTGTCCAGGTGGATGGAAAGCTGATGGAGCCCACCTCGCTGGTTTTTGTGGCGTGGCAAATGAGGACATTCCCAATGGAYTGAACTTGTGTTTTTCTACAAGAAAAGTCATCTATGTCATTCTTACACAATGTTTGGTATATTTAAAATTTAATTTCTACAATTAAAGTTGTCTCTGCTGAGACAACTCTTAAACTATAGTTTAAGAAAAGAAGAAGAAAAATARTAATTATTTTCTTCCAAGCAGTTCAGAGTTACCATGTGTTGTATTAAAAAGTGTAGCAATTTTGCAGAAAACATACCCCCTTGCTTTCCAGCTGGTCCTCAGAGATCAGACACCTTTCAGAATCAAATCCCTGACTATGCCRAGTGTTTTGACCCAGGAAATCAAGCCTGTGATTGCAATTGTATTGTCAATGCTATAAACACCAACCCTGCAGTTAATGTTTACATATATATGAAATGTCTGTATATATGCATGTATAATGTGTGTGCACATWTATATTTATTTATGGCAATCCCAAAGAACCTTGTATGTTACATTTAACAGATGGGCTCTTTAGAATGGGACGGGACCTCTGGCTAACAGACTGTTCATGCAGCCGGAGTGGGGTCTGTAGTAACACTTTGGCAACAYGGCAATACAGTAACAGGTGGAGAAGACCCCACAGAGGTTAAGTGTGAAACAGAGAATGGGAAGAACGGTTTCATAACTCAGGCTTAGACATTCCTGCATCCAAGGRCCCAAAGGACATTTAATTCCTCAGAGCCTGATGGATTAAAGGAGCTGCTTCTGACACTGTGGAAAAATTAGAGCATGGGCACGCTTTGTGCAGTCAAAAAGAACTACAACAGTTAATGGGAACTTTATGATATTGGCGTAAACATCCCTGGTTTGTCTATAATTGCCCATCCCTTATACAATTTTCTCAGAAAGGGAAAATCATAGGAGTGGACTGAGCAACACATGAAGCAGTTCCAACAGCTTGGTCCCACATTCCCCCAGTGCAGCGGAATGGGGTTCTGTTGAGAACATGGCACCTGCTCCAACCTGGCCCAGACAGACCAAAGAGACTCAGCATGACTGCATTTAAAGAGACAGAACAGAGATATACTGAGYTGGAAAAGGGACTTTAATCATTCGTCCAAACAGTTAAACAAGTTGAGCCACCAAGGGATAACCTGTCTGAACAAATCCTGATGAAATTTGTATTGTTTTCCCTTTCTAGTAATGATACTGGGAATGATGCCAGCACACCTTCACTGAAGATCCAAAGACTGCTTAGCCCTCTTGTAGGAGAAATTATTGCCAGAATGAACCAAATTTAGTTCATACATCACCAAGCTCAACCTCCAGGGTGGAGACCCTCTCTTCTTCTGTCTAGGCTAATCAATACAGCAACTGTAGCATATTCTGCACCACATGCAATTCTCGCTTGTGAAACTTACTGTTTCACAGCAGCAAATATAAGGGAAGGAGATGAGGGTATTTTGTCCATTGAAATTAGAAAGGTAACTTCAATACCACTGAATTTGAAAGGGAATTTCAATCCTGGTGGCACCTAATCAATTTTACTTACAACCTCATGAAGAACACAGTAAGAAGTAAGAAGGGCAGCATCAGTGGTTAGAACCYCTCTTCAGATGGTCCCCACAGCTAAAGAAATCTTCAATAAACTACTTCCCCCTGTTGTTCCTATGTTAATCTTGATGCTACTATGTTCTGCTTTCATCACAGACATGTATGTAAAAATCTGGATAATGATCTGTCAGAAACACATATGGTCTGGGTGTGATATRATGGAAGGTGTGGGGAAGAGGCTCTGCCCTACAGAGACCCCCCAAAAATCCATTATATACAGGTGTGAGAGGGACACCAAACTGAAGGTGTGACTACAGTCACAGGGTGGATAATGTAGGAATGTGGCGTGCAGCAATGAGATACAGGATGAAGGTAATTCTATGAGCTGTGCCATGAGATGTAGCTAAGGGATTATGTGGCCATGATGGCATGCTGAGGGGACAGGATGATATCAGGTGAAGGCTGGATGATCCTTATTGCTGCAGTGAGCCTGGGGGAAGAGGGGTTGATACAAAGGTGTCATGCTGGCAAATCTGTGATCACAAAATGAGACCAGRCCCAGAGTGTAACTCACACTATTGGTGCACCTGGGAACATGACCAGCTGTACACTGCTGAATTGGCTAAAATCAGAAATTAAGCYCAGCTGTACCCAGCCCTTCAGATCTGTGAGGATCAGCTGGAAAGCAAGGGTGTTTAATTTCTGCCAAAGTGCAACACTTCCAACACAACACCATGTATCTTGCCAATACAGGAGCTAAGATATTTACAGTTAAACATCATGTCAAGAACCCTTTAAACAATGTTTAGTTGTCCATAATTATACAGAATATTTATGTAGAAAATAGGAAAGCAGCTATACAGAAATGCTGTTAAATAAAACCTGAAATAGAAGTTAAAAAATGTAAGACAAYGAAATAAAACCCAAAATGCACTGTAACCTTCACCAGGAAGATGAAGAGACGAAACAGATCTRCTAGAAGGTGATGATTTCTCTTCAACCCGAAAGCTAACTTGACGTTTAAGATTCTCTCGAATTCCATGGATGGAGGGCTCTTGCTTATGTTTGCATTCTCTGGCATATCCAAGAGCTCGCAAAATTTTATTTAAACGATCACTTGATATTCCACGAACACCCTAAGGAAACAAATGGTATTATAAACACTCTTTTAGAMTTCAGATATCACAAAGCTTGTAGAAAAATCACCGAAGTTGGTAACACTGTTCACAAGGGTAGCCATATTCTCCACAGTTGTAGTTTGATGGCCATCCTCTCAGGTTAGTGGTTCAGGAATTACACTTATTTAAAACACGGAAACTTAGCTTTGGATTTTATAGGTTGAAAACTGTAGTACAGGAGTGAAAGAGAATATAAAAAAAGTGGGACAAAGATTACTCTTCTTTTAAATAATTCAATATCATCTTACTGCTTTAACTCCCAAGGATTCCAGCTTCTCCTCCAGGGCTTGCTCCAAAACAACTCGCAATTCTTTAGTTAAAGAWGGATCAGACTTCAGAGCATTTATTAAGTGGTTACTTCTACCTAGCTTGTGATCACATCTGTCAGTTTCTGAAATAAGAAAAAATACTTTTAGAGGTATTTTAAAAGTCCACAGTGCATGAGACAATTAAAAACTGCACTGAAACATGCATTCTTTAGAAACAGCATAGACATACACGTGCACTTTTTATCTACATGAAGTTGTGTGATTTTCAAAATCTTGGCTAGCTTACAAAACCTAGCTCACTTGGAATCTGTACCTCAGCACCTTGTGATCACCATCACAAGTATCTTTTATTGTTCTTGTAACAGAATCGCTGTAAAGATGCGTTGCTGAATATTTAGCAACAAATTTTAGCATTGTACTCAAAAACTTCGTATAAACTACCTTCCGATCTTAAATTCTCTAAAAGTGGTATTTCAAACAAAAGCTGATTTCTAGTAGGAATCAGAAGAATTCTACAAAGTTTTTCTCAAGAAAAGCTTCAAGCAACATGATGTTCTCTGATAAAAATCATCTACTGAAATAAAATCTTTGCAAAGTTTTAACATTTTCAAATGTCTTGGTAAAGACAAAATCTTATTTGGGGCACACTGTTTCACAGAAAATATATGATGGATAATAGTTATCTTCAAAAATCTTTCAAGGACAAAGTTCAATGCCAYATTTTCTTCTATGCAAGTCTGTGACATCACACATAGTTAAAAGCAGACAGAGGTTCCTATCTCTTTCCCTTACTGCAACTGTCAATAATGACTGTAATGTCAATAAAGAACTCTTATGCAAGAAATAAAGAATCATCTAGACAGATTCTTCCATCTAAAATGAAGACTGACTGATTTAAGTTAGGCCAAAGTATTATAGGATCATACACAGGAAGAAAGAAGCAAAACACACCCATTTGGAACCCACTGTCTATTGCTTCTGGCAAGACAAAATTTTACTGAATGCCACTTAAGTAAACGAAGTGATAACCTGTGGAACCATGATGGCTGCTTCTTCTGGCAGTGGTCAGCAAAGCTGGCAAAGGGTATAAAACATCCCAGGAAAGTATGCTGTAAACCACAATCCCAACTCCCCTGAAATAACAGGTACATCTTGGGCAGGAGTAAATCTCTTCCCAGTATGCCTTATAGGGCAGCAGTCATCGGCCAGCCAACAGACAAGGACATGAACGATGGAATAATTCCATATTGTGCCTTTAAAATATTTTATTTTGAAATGAATGTACCACTTTTCCTATTTTTAAACAATGAGAGCTTATTAGAAAGCAGCTCCATTTCTTTCCATTTTTCTTTAGGGGAAAGACAAGCACAGTAAAGAGGACACAAAAAAAGCCTCAAAATGCACAAGTGGTATTTTAGGCAGTTTTGAAGAACTGGCTTCTGACGGGGTCCTGGAAAGAACTACATGTAAAGAAAACTGACAGAATCCAGCTGCCATACTAAAAGATTTGTGCTGAAGAGGAAATAATCAGGCTGAAACCTCATCTGGTTTTGGGAACCGTGTGGACAACTCAGTCTCTGACAGAGATGAGATTAAAACTGATTTGCCTGGAGATCTGAGTCCTAGAAGAGGCAAACAAATGCTCTTGAAGAAACACAGGGCTACCTGACTATCCCCAGTCAGGATGAGATGGCATTATGCAATACAAAATCCTCCCAGAAAGCCAGACATGAGACATTTTAAAGTGGAAAGGCTCCCAGGAGCCTTCTGAAAATCCTGTCTCTTTCCAATGTTAATCCTTACAATAAAAAAAAGATAAATCTAAATTCATTTTAAAATTCCTAATTACTACATACTAATAAGGGTAACAAGACTATCCAGCGTTATCCTAATTAATGAGGATATTAATTCTTGCTAATTAACTCAAGCCAAATCCTCTTTGCCAGAGCAATTATTTAAGGAACTGGTTTTTTATTCATTCCTAAATACTAGATTAAACAACCCTGGAGACAAGGCACCTTACGTCTGGTGCACTGTCTCAGTTCCTACATAATCCTAGAAAATAATGTTCTGAGTCAAGAATTTTCACACTCTCCCTTACAAATGACTGCCATCAAACCAAAAAAATCTTGGTCTATCTTTTCAGACTGCATTCTTTCTTTTTCTCTTCTGCCCTTCAGGCCATGCCTTTAGGCACATCAGAAGAATCAAAGACAATCCATCAAGAGAGAAGATGGCAAGCAAGAGAAATAGCAGAAGGAACGGCAAAAATGCAAGAAGTCTTTACTTCAGATCGTTCAGAGTCACTGGATTTTCCCTGGGGAAACCTCCAACACAGAGATGTATTCAAACAACAATTTTGTTTTCAAAACAGTATCATTCTTTCGAGATTTAAACTCACTGACTGCAAGGTTCAAGACTAATCTTGATATTCGCACATAGAACAGATTTTTATGTTATTCAGGTATTTGGTGTTTGATCTAAGGTACCATTAGCTGCCTTCAGGAGAAGAACACCATGCAGGCTGAAGCAGTGCTTTCCATTCTGTCAGTGTAAAAGTGGCCTTTTCAGGCCACTCCTCAGATGAGGCACAACAGCTGCCARTGCTGGGCTGTGTAACTTTACTCTGAATTGCACAACCCTGGCTGGAGCTGTGGTTGATTATGGGTAGGTGCAACTCAGGTTACTTGTAAAAGTATCTGTGATGCATTTATGAAAGYTGGCAGCTCCAACCTCCACCACCAACTTCCTTCTACCTGAACTCTTCATCCTCTCATGCAGAGTTTAAAAAGGAAGTAAGCACATATTGYAATAGTGTCAGCACCAAAAATTTCCTAGTGAGGGGCCTTTCCCCATCAAGCATTTTTGTTCTGCTTAGTTCAAGTACCTTTAGACATATGGAATGTGCCTGCTTTAAAGAAATTAGCCACATTTTCATAAAAACATTGAACTTGCACAAGGAAATCATAACATTTACAAGCGCCAGTAGGAAACAGGAGATTGACACAATGTTCCCACTCAAATCACACAAACATACTGAAATACAATGAAAAATACTGTTGGTATCAAGTAAAATAATTTGTTTTCAAGAAGCACATGCCAGTATATTTTGAGCTGAATCAAGCATTACCTTTTTCCTCTTCTGAAAGCTCCTCTATGGGCTCCAGCATATGCACCAAGGGTGCCTGCTCTAATAATGAGGAAGAATAGGAACACCAGACAAAAAGGACAGAAGAAGGTCAAGGTCCAGAGAGGGAAAGTCAGGAAAAAACCCACCACACCGATGTCAACTTTTTGATTGCTGACAACTTGCTTAACAATCACAAACCCACTGCAACCTTACCCTTAACTGTGTACATTTTTGTAGAGGAGACCCTAATACAATAGTCACTTCAGGTGTGATTCTGCTGTCCAAACATAGGTGTGTGGTGTCATCACAGATACATCATCAGAGCTTCAAGCCATCAGTGCAAGGTTGACTGATACGTCACAGAAGTTCTGGAATGGCACCAGGTAGGYCAGGTGGGATATTTTTAGACTACAATGACAAGGCCACCCAGGATTATATCAATCAATATTGTTGTTCATTTCTCATAAGAAGTACTTTGTAAAAACTTACTTTTAAATATTATGTGTAATCTGATACTAGAAGGTTAAAAAAGACAAGTGAAATGGACACAGTAAACCTCAAAAATATATGGAAAAATGTATTAACTCACTATTCCAGAGAATTATTACATACTGAGTCCATATGTGCAAGACAGAGATTTTATATATATATATAATATATAATAATTGCCAATAAAACCATAATAAAACATCTTCAATCACTCCAATTGAGTAAAATTAGTATTATCATGTGCTTTAAAGAATTCTTGAAATGTATCCTCTGCTGAAAACAGCTTCCTAAACACATTGAATTCATCACTCTATAGGCTGTCAGGTACAATTTGCTTCACAAAAATGAAGCCAGAATACAGTTGATTTACAACTTTATAGACTCCAGATATAAGACATGCTTGAAAATTATTAGAGGTAGACCAATAAATATTCAGGTTTTTAAAATGTTAATATTCACCTTCTACAAATTAATTGCTAGAAATGAAAACTACAACTTGAGTGTGTACAATAAAAATAGGGTATACAATAAAAATAGATATGCAAACTGTACTTTCAGCATTCAACTACAGGCTTTATAAGAGAAAACAATTTATTGGTCAATATTTTGGGCCTACATGCATTTGCCTCATCCTTCACAAAAAAACCTCTTGCACTATACATGGTTGCTATGATGTATGGGTAAAAGGTGAGGGAGTGATGCTGCAGTGAAGGTGCTCTTTGGCACTTCCTGCACACGAGGTACAAATGCAGATGCACTGTGACAGGTAACCACAGTGAGAGGAGCACTTGGAGCTACRTGACACTGACACATCTCCAATATTTGCACAGTGAAGGGGATTAAAACTGGTGGTGTAAATGATTGGGTATGGGAGTTGCTCTCTCCATGCTTTCCATGCCTGTGGTGATAATCAGCCTCTCACCTGCTTTTTGAAGCTAGTTACCACACTTAAGATTTCTTCCCATACAACTTGCACTAAACAAGAAGTTCTAAAAAAATGCTTCTTATACCATCACAAGATGTTAACAAGATGAAAATAACAATATATCTTAGGAAAACACTTAAAAGCAAAACTCTAAGAGACAAACAGGTTTTCAGTCTTTCAGCCTCTAAGGCTGGAAAATTCATCAGTGTGCATGGCATTTGCGGGCACCGGAACATGATCCTCCACACTACTCTCCTGGCACACTGTTGCCCTTCACCAACTAAGATTCTCCAAAACAGTGTACAGACAGAGTTTGGAATCATTCCCAAAAGCCTGAAGTRCATCTGTTTAGGACAGAGCCTGAAGAGCAGATGAAAAGTTTTGGGAGGATTTAATTTAGCTGCATGGGCACCATGGCCTCTGAGTTTCCTGGCTGGACTTACCAGTCAGTAAGGGACTTGTTGTGTGGTTGGATTTAATCTATGCTTGCTCCACCTGTACTTTACTCTGCTTAAAGGGGCTGACTCATCTCTGCACAGGCCCTTGCCAAGTAACTAAATGCAACAAGAAAAGTCTGGTCCCCAGAACTCAGACATAAAAAYAGTCTGCTGATCTGGCATTAAGATACATGCTTCTCTTCCTCAATGTACCAGAAATAGAGGAAATGAAAAATCAGTAATTATTAAGAACAGTTGTAGGAGCAGACCCAAAATGCATTATTGTTACATGTCATACTATTGTTCACTGCTTGGTTACAGAGGAGATCAAATGCTAAGGCATGAGGGAGTGCAACACCTCAAAACACCAACTTCTCTGAAGTAAAMAGACTTTTTCTTTCTCTTCACTGTAAGAGATATCTATTCATTGTCATGTTGGAATCACACATAAGAAAAACCTTTACTCTGGTTTATAGACAGGTGTGTAGATGATCTGCCTTAAGGAGTGCTCTCCTTATGTTTACCAAAGATGTGCTTCTTCTGGCCATCTGATCAGCCATATTAATTCAAGACACCATTAAGGCCAGCAGTGGTGGGTCTATCATCCCACATCTTCCAGAGTATCTCTTCTGCTAGCTAGTATGTGTAGAGACACAGATGAGATGTATCAAAAGTACAGGTTACCTTAATWACTTAGTGGATAATTATACTACTGAAAAATAATGTGCCCAGCATACTTAAAGRAATAAAATGCTAAAGAACCTCTAACCTGAACAGAAGCATTAAAATTTTCTATTGGTGTAGTGTCATCTACAGTAAGCACTTTGCACTTGCAATATGAAAACCTAGGATAAAATTTGTTTTTTGTAAACTACTGCTCCTCTTGAAGGTGTAAAGAATGTAGGCCATGAATACACTCATTATATACTCCTTTAATTTATACTCAAATTATTATTAAAATATACAAAGAGCTGCCCAACTTAATCTGTGATACCTGTAATTTGGACCATTATTTTTGAATAAATGCACTTCACTGTTTTTTTCTCCTAACTAATCAATGGAAAGCCATACATAGCACATAAGCAGCAGAAATATTAATCTGAAACCAATGTTCTTACGTATGATATTTTTTTACACTTACCTGAGGCCACTAAGTTAGGAGCCTAGTCACCTCAGACTCRTCCTACAGTCACTGAAGAGACACAGACAACTTCAAAGAGCAATTCAGATCTTAGTTAATCTGAACCAAACTCTGAAGGTGCACCTTTTCTCTGTTTACTGTCTATGAAGAGTAAATGCTTTCACTAAATTTTCCTGAGATGCTTCAGCTATGTCCCTAGTGATAGCTGGGCCTTGGTCCACACCATGTTTGTAGACTGACACACGGTGTTTAATGGACAATCTAATTGGTAGCTTTGCTTTTTAACTACTGTCTTCAATTCCACCAAATGTTATTAACCTAACAAAGGTTAAACCTTGAACAGTATACCTGATACTTGAACAGTATCAACATTTCAAGAGTAACGTAGGAGTCAAAACCTAATTTTAAAATATTATTTWAAAAACTAAGTCATAATTAATTTGTTGCCTTTTTGTGAGACTAAAGTAATTTCTGAAATCTTGAAGTAAGCCTTAAGTTATAACTGCACAAAATCCTATAGATAGCTCAGAATTGGGCAGAAGAATKGTCTGCCAGGATGGCATTCAAGGAGCTCTACTACCTGTCACAAGAAGTCAGGAAKGCTAACACAAAAACACCAGACTAACTGGTGTTTTCCTCCTACTTTAAGTTATTCTCCTACTCTACACCTAAGATAACTCACGTTTGTAATTTGGGTATCTTCTCATAACACAGATTTAAGATGTGCAGAATGAATACCAGGATGCAAAAGCTTCTGAGTGGCTTTGAAAGGTGTACTTAAGTTCACATTAGAGAGCCTTTTCTAGAATTAATTTTAAAAGAATGAAGGTATTTTATACACAAGCAATTATAAGATGATCTGTGCTAAATAAATTTGTCTACAGAAGTTACCAGAAAGTGTTTTCATTTTCATAAAGGCATRAGATGCAGCCATGATGTCTTAATTCCATAAGTCAATCCCTTGAAGAGTCCTGAAAACTTCGGGAAAGACACCGTAACTTCTGCTAACCTTTATATCCACAAAATTAGGCAAGGCAAGTTTAAAAAGAAATCCAGAAGGGAAGAAAGGGGACAGACAGAGAGACCTGCAGAGATAAATAAAATAGTAATCAGCAAAGGAATCTGAAGGGGACACCTTCTTTGAGGTTTCACAATAAACCGATGGTGAATCTTTTGTGTATCAATGGCAGGAACAGCCTTTTCTATCTTGAGAAGTTTCATAAGATGTCACAAATTTCATATTTGAAGCATCAAGAAATCATGAAAGATCTGAATGAGGTGATTTAAGTTGTCAGAGTACYGAAAATACTAATGTTCACAGGACAGTTTCTGTCCTCAGTACAAATGAATGCAAATGCATTACGTGAGTAATGATTGACAAGCCTGGTGGGTAAGTCCTTAATCTTCATAAAACAGCAATAATCTTCACAAAACTTACATCTTAAATTCAGGGCAATAGCTAAGCTACATTTTGTGAGACTTTTTAACCAGAACCAGCATTACTGTTTTGGTGTAATGAGGCTGGCTTAAATGAAAAAGAATCAATTGCTTAAAATSCTATTACTAATTCTCTGTATTTAATACGTTATTCCTTTTCTCAACACAATATTCATCCATACAGTTTAACTTGAAAAGCTTCAAGCAATGAACTACTAACCTTGCATAATTTAGAAATAAATCTCTGTATTATTCAAATAATGCTAACATGGAATAATTAGCAGTAATATAAGCAATTTTCCTTTTYAAAATAATCATCATAACAAGTATTTTGAAATGACCACTACATATATTTTTTTATCCCTCAAGTTATTGAAACCTTGATGTATACTGTTCCTTCTCTACAGATGCCTTTTCAGAACTTTTCATATTTGTTGAAAATGAAAAATTATCTACACTTTTTACAAACGAATTCTATTTAGTCTCCCTTGGATAGGTTTAAAAACGAATATAAATTATTACAAAAATAYATTATTTACCTATAACTTGAATTAATAACTGTTTTTAAACATTTTGCTTGCTCATTTTGCATTACTTTACCACTTAAAACAAAAATAAAGAATTAGTTGTTCACACAACATTGGTATGGTAACAATACTCTCCATTACTTTGCATACTAATTAAAAAACCAAAACTATTTTCATAAAGTACAGAACACTGTAAATATAGTCCCCCCCAACTCCCCTTCTAAAGGCTAGCAAAATGCCACAAGTTAAAATACCTAACTAATGACTTATATGATATATTCTGGAAGAACTAGGATAAGATAACTGTCTATTTTGATTATTTCTTCTATATTTTTACTCTTTGCCATTTGAAGYCACATGGAAAATACAGTCTTTCAAGACTTCTATACAAACATCTCCACATGTTTCCCTACACAARTTCCAGTAGATGCAGGTACCCATCCAGTATATGCATATATCAGATAAGCATGTTTTCCATTAGAAAATATAATTCTTTTCCCTGATAAATTTCACCTTAGTGCTTCAACAATACACAGGTGCTAGGAAATATTTTCAAATAATTTTCATTTGTTTTTCATTTATTCTTCTCGGTAGTGCATGCTTATAATTACTTCATAGAAATTCTCAACGCTGACATACAGCAGAGCAATTTAAATAAWGTTCTTTCAATTTAACTATTCTTAGAGCTATGATTTGAGAAGCAGCATATCTGAGAAGACAGAGTGTTAGACTTGAAAGTACTGGATCTGGACCTATCAAAAAAACTTACCATGTGTGGTAGCTGGTGGACTTGGTTTAGGTTCTTGAAGACGCTCTACAAAAGTGCTCACTAAAATAACATAATAGTAAAAAAATAATGGAATCATATCACAGCCAACAGCAACTGACAAATACAGATTCTTAAATGTAGCAATATTCAACCATATTTATAAATTGGGGGGGGGTTTGCATTAATGGGGAAAAATTTAAAAAATTACAAAGTAAAAACTGTTCCTTCACAACATAAAAGTACATCTCTATATTTGCTCAACATTTTTAATGCTTCTAGAATCAGGAAAAGAAACTATTGACTAAATCATCACTGAACTAGAATGTGATCATCTCTTTGGTCATCAGTGCATGCTGTCTTTGTGTCAGGGGAAGAAGCTTTGGCCACAGCTATTTAGCCAACACCAGGCTGACTGGGGCTTGTATTCCCCAGAGAGAATCTGCAGCATCCACACTTCACATCAATGAGTGCAAACCCTCATACATCCATAGATCATGTATGTATACATATATATATGCACATATACATACATGCATGTATGGAGTGTAGCCCTGGAGTAAATAAGGACTTCAGTCCTACATTGTTCAGATCAGCTTGGGGCTAGGAGGAAATGTGCTTGTGTGCCATTGACTTTTACTTGTCTGTGCTTCAGTGTGAATGAATATGACACTGCAGTTGAAAAGCCATACCATTACTGTGCTCTCCTCAAACTAAACCTACTCCCTGTTGTTTGATTCAGTTCACGCCACTGCCTTGTTAATGCAGCAAAATGGTTTCCAAACTGGGATCAGAATTAGTTCATCTGTCATCACCCATTGCAATAAACTTACTCCAAGTCACTGCAACAGCAGCATTAAATATATGTGTATTTGTGATGCAGGACAACATCCTAAAATGCTACTATCAGATTTAGCTATTTCTAATAGACTTCAGATGTTAAAGCATTGCACAGACAAAAATACCAGAGTTCTTAACATTCTTTGAACATCTGCATCTTAACTGACAAGTTAAACAGTTTTGTCTACTCTTTCATTATTTTCCTTTTTGTGAATTCTGCAGCCTAAAGACAGTCAAGCATGAAAAAAATTGATTAAAATTACACTTCATAAGGCAAATCCAAAAGTTTTTTACATAATAGAAAACACAGTTGTTCTATTTCACATCTCTTCACTAGTCCAAGCAATCAACTTTGTACATTAGAAGTCCTTAGAGCTACAAAACATGATCTTTGTAAATCATGGCATGGAAACAGATAGGTACCTGTGAGAAACAAATACATATCCAGTATTGATTTTATTTCAGTATTTTGGTAGTCAAGTTGATGCATATATTTGTTTCAGCCAGGCTACAGAAATCAGAAACTAAGTCCATTTTTTTTTACAGTTTGTACTCACCATCATGCGTTTTAACGTTTGGAACTGACTTCGTGGACAATTCTTTTATCTAAAGGAGAAAACACAGATACATTAATAGATACAAATGTAAAGGACCAATATCTAAAATGAACATTTGGAATAAAATATCTAGTTTCAGTACTACTCCATTACATAAATTATTGGTTATGATTTGGGGAGAAAAATACTACTACTGTGCCCAATATATGAATGCTTTTGTGTGGTCTTAATGTGAATTCATGCTTTGTACATCCTGTTATTGCAAGTCACAAAATGAAATGACAAAGCAGACTTTTGGGCCACTTCAGCACTTAAAGAGTTTCAATACTGTCTTTCTCAGCAATTCATGTTCCATTTTGCAGGCCTAGCTTCCACTACGGGGAAATACTGGAGTGTTTAATTACACATTGATTTTAAATGCATGAACAGTTCTCCATTATGCTTTAMAATTTTGTATATTTGACACCCCAGGACAAGCACTGAACTGACAGTGTAAAGGAAACACGCTGGCTGTAATTTGATCTAAATAAACCAGGAAACCTGTGAATCCTATATCATTACAACAATGTTCTGCACTACAATTCCCCAAAGAGAAGCAGAACACAAATCATTCACACACAGCCAGCTGGAGCTGGCACAAGATATTGGATCCTCTTTTATTTATCAGTTTGGCTATAGCCAGTGGTGTACCAATTCACTGTCAATTAAGTTTGCATTGTGCAAAAGTGTTAACTATTTCTCAAGTCCTTCTCTTTTCCAGGGACTGAGAATGTAGATCTCCTCAACAGTATTTCACAAACACCAAACCTGGACCCCTTTGAACCTATTATAAATCAGTGGTCATATTATTATCTTTCAAAAGGTCAYTTTATTGCAGGAAATTCATCTATGATTAAGTCCTCCATTTCTCCAGCTATCAAATTTGTTAAGGTGGAGATGTAAAAGCCATTATTTGTCTTTCCGTTCTTTAAGCACTTAAGTAAAGGTTCAACATTAATCTCAAGCAAAAGGTGTAAAATCAGATGTTAATCTACAAGAATGCATCATCTAATAGAGGAATAGGTCACATAATCATGCCATAGTCTAAACATAGCCTAGGTATTCCAGACTACCTAGATCTTCACCCACCAATCACTTCAAAAAAATCTATACTTATGTTTCAACAAAACCTTATTTTAGGTAAAACATAAAATCATAGATTATCCTAGGCTGAGTGAGGATCAAGAMCAATTCCCTGCTCCTTGCAGGACTACCTAAAACTTAAACCTAAGAACATCGTCCAGACACTCTTAGAACTCTGACAGACTTAGTGTCAYGATCACTTCCCTGAGGAGCCTGTTCCAGTGCCCAACTGCCATCAGAGTGAAGAAYCCTTTCCTAATGTCCAATCTGAACCCTCTCTGCTTCATCCCATTTCCTTGTGTCTTATCACTGGTCACCAGAGAGATCAGCTCCCACTCTCCACTGCCCCCTTTGAGGAACTCGTAGGCCATGATGAGGTCACCTCTCAGCCTTCTCTTCTCCAAGCTGAACAAGACAAAAACCAACAGCTGCTCCTCCTAAGCCTTGCCTGCAAGACCTTTGATCATCTTGTTTGCCCTCCTCYGGATGCACTGAAAYASTCTGGTGTCCTTCTMATAYTGAGGCAGCCAAAACTGYCCCCAGCACTCRAGGTRAGGCTGTCCCAGTGCAGAGCAGAGCAGGACAAACYCCTCGCTTGCCCAGCTGGCAGTGCTGTGCCTGATGCACCCAAGGTCACATTTGGYCCTCCAGGCACTGCTGACTCATATTCAGCTTGACATCACCTCAAACCCTCAGATGTCCTTCTGCAGGACTCCTCTCCAGCCTCTTGTTCCCCACCTTGTAGATATAGCCAGCATTATTCAATCCCAGATGGAGAAACTGATCTGCTCTTGTTATTTCRATAATTATTCTCATAGCAATGAGTATGACACTTTAATTTTAGTATGGGAAGCAATGTATATTCAGATATCAAAYACTAGACCTCATTATGATTATTTTGTGGCAGATTTAATCCTTTTAACTATCAGAAACTTTTTGTCTGTACAGGTAACTGTGGTAACTGTGACCTAGAAATCTTTTAACTTTGTGTTGGACCTATTGAAAATATTTGGTTTATTAAGCCCTTCTTTCCCAAATGGTTTTAATTCCTGGTTTATGTTCCTGTGTCTCTTTTCCAGATTCTTATTTGTCAACATAATTTCCAAACTGTAACAAACCCCTCCAGCAATTACAATATGTGAATATTAAATTATATTACAATTAGAGACTGTGAATATTAAATACACAACCAGAGATATATCAAAGACCAAATGCTAGCATAATGTTTCTCTGTGTTCTGTGCTCTCTGAAATATAGTGTTTCWCAAAACAGACCTGCATCTTCTGACTAACAACCAGATCATTCTGCTCCTGAAGCCTCTGCTCCAATTCATCTATCTTCTTCTTGTAAAAGATGCTATTTTTGTTCAGGTCTTCTTTTGCTGATGATTTAATTGTCTCAATCTGTGACAGTAGCTACAAAGTAATCAGAAGAAAAGTAGCATCATATTAATACTGTACAAAATATTTTAATGTTAAAGCTTAAACAAGCAAGTGCCATGCTTAGATACTTTCAATTTTTTTTTCAGCAAAAACTWAATGTCTTCTGTGATTTCACTGGGACTTGTGTGTATTACAAATCAGGTGCCTGGATTACTTTTTAATTACACARAGAAGACTACCTAAATTTCAATATAAAGAAAAGGACATACAAACACATTGTTGAGGTTGCCTAAAAATAAGATTGAAGGAAAAAGTGTACAATTCTATAAAAATGTTTTAATTATAAATASTGTCAAATAATGATAATTTAAGGAGGTGATATGTGAATTTGTATAATAAACGTAATATATTGACTGTGACTGTGGAAGAAAGGGAACAATATTTAGGTGCATCATCCCAAAAATAATACTTACATTACTCCTCCCTTATTCTATTCTTGCACTGTATGTGGGTGTACCATTAACTAYATCCTTTTTGAGGACTGTTCCATGGTTCCTCCCCAGTGTTTTCTTGCCAGAGGAGGAGAAGCATTGGTCAGACCACTATGATCTGCTCAGTTCTTACATGGTCACGCAGATGAAAGGAAAATGAAAGGAAAAGAAGCGAGAGAAACAAAGCAGGAAAGAGATTAAAAAGAAATGCAGATGTGAAAAAAAATCTGAGGAATAAAGCTTTGTATAGTAAAATATATAAACCGATGCAAAATAAAATGCCATGGTGTTTTTTTCCTGGAAAAGCTGAATAGATTCTGCATTAGAAAGCTACAACAGAAAAAGCAATAGAGAAGTGGTAGAAAGGAGAAAAAAAAGACTGAGACATATGCCATAGGTCCATGGTAGCAGCAGGTACAGGGCGGATGAAAGCTACATATTGGCAATAGTATCAACTATTCAGCCTATCCACATAACATGGAAAATACTGCATAATACAGTGCACACACAGTCAGCTGTAAGCTCTTCAAAAGAYATTGTCTCAGTTTTCTGTCAGATTCTGAAATGATAAATTGAGTTTCAACCCRGGCCTTAAAAAGGTCCTACCATAAAGAAACAGAGAGATGATAAATATGACTAAGAGGACATACCCTTATAAACTCTTGATATCTAGCATGTAGTATCTAGATGTACTAGAGCATATCAAGAACTACAGGAAGGGTAGTAAAATAAAAATGTCTCCTTTAGGTGTAAGTGGTTTGCTCTGTCACTTACTAGGGACTTTTCTGACTCGTGGTCACTGCGGAGGGCTTGTAGTAGAGAGGTCCACTTTTTTTCCTGCATAGAGGAAATCAATATTAATTCCTCTTAACAACACATTTGGTTTRATATATGCAGCTTTATGTCTTGTTAAAAACATGATCATTCAGTTCAATATATGCAGCTTTATTTTTCAAAATAAAGCATAAATACCAAAAAGATGACAGACTATATGAAATTTGAGTAACCCAGGATTTAAGGCCTAGAACAGTTATCAGCATGATTTATACATCTGAGTGTGGTTTTCTTACCAATCACTCTAAAAACTGAGTATTTGCTCTTTGGTTTGCATATGCAGACACTGTGAGCAAGAAATACACAAACATTTTGACACAACTCTGTGCAATAGTAAGAAGAGTAGTAAGTGCAGGGGGTTTCCCCTACAAATAATGTAATTTTGAGCACTCAATAACAATGTATTTTGCATAAAAATGCAAACCCCAATATTAACATATGAGTTTTAGAGGGAAGCCAATTTTCTTTGATGCAATTAAAAAAACCAGAAAGCCCAACTAAATTTTCCACATCTTTGATCAGAAGTGACCAAACTTCTGTAAAATACAGTAAACAAAGACCTTCACATCCTAAAAACCATAATAAAAAAAAAGGTACAAGTTGGCAAATCCCACCAGTAAATTTCCTAATTTTCTTTTTYATCTGGGAAATGGAATATTCCAATTTTTCAGTAAGTGGCCTCACAGATCAGCAGACACAAATGCTTTATTAGAGCCTTCTGGAATTGAACTGCCACCATACTAGGCAAAGATATATTTAATCATAAAGAAAAAGAGAATATCAATAAACAAATAACAATTACTTCATTTGTCAAAGATAAAGAAGATAAATCCTTGTTTGTCATTATACAGATAGTATTAAATTGCATTAAATGTTTAAACCCAGCTATTTTTGGCACTGAGAAGAATAAAAATTTTACTTATAGATTTCACATCCTACTCAGAGATGAACAATAATAGAAAGAACATAAGTAATCTGTCAAAAGCAAWACACTAAGTTACAGTGTTACCTGTTTGTCCAGAAATCTAACCACATTTGGATGATCCTGAGGACGGTAAAGTTTCTCGTCTGTAAATTCATGGCTGTCTTTCAGTGTTCCTAAATTGGACTTTTGTTGCACATTGGACTTTTGTAATTCTACCAGTTGCTAATAGGAGGGGGGAGGAATATAAAATTTTCTTTAAACACAGTTATGCAAAGAATACTTCTCTTTTCATTAGTTCAGCATTTATCAAATTTCACAATTAATAACATCTACATCTAACATAAATATGACTTGTAAAAGTACACAGGACATAGCTGCTACAAAATATATGCTGCTCTGGTAATGCCATGCAGATTTGTTTTCTACCCAGCCATACTTTTAAGATTCGTTTGCTAGTGAGCATTTCCAAAGCATGTGCTGAAAACAAGAATTCTGTCAGGACTATAAAGCAGAGGGTATCCTCCTCCATGCCACTTATGAGAATATTAACATAAGAATACCTAACATGCAGCAACCACAGCAGTATCTACTAATCTATAAACAGGCATTCAAAGGCTGAGGAGTAAAGAAAAACKGACATAGTTGCTGAAGGTTATAAAAAACCCCTCTGAAATTATGTGAATAAAATACCAGTATACAAAGATACAATTATGGCTACCATTCARTCATTATTTTTAGAGTTTTGTAGGAAGACCTTAACAATGACTGTATCATATTTCAAATATGGAAGTTCACTGCCTTCTACTGTAAGGGATTCATGCCCTAAAAGGTTAGAAAATTTAAATCGCTTACATTTTCTAAGGTTGAATTTCTTGAATACAACTCCTTAAGCTCTTTCATAAACATATCTTTCACCTTTTCTATTTGATCAGCCAATTGCTCTCTTTCTTCGTCTTTCCATTTATGAAAGGATTGTAGAATCTCTTCTTCTTTTGATTTTTGCTGCTCACATTCCTGAAATTTTTTTAAAAAACATTATTTGTTATTTTTTCTTTACATTCAATACAAATTCAAGCTCCCAAACTACATGTGGATTTCAGTCACTTACAATATTTGGGAAATACTGTAACATAAAAATCATAAAACCCACCTATTTTAAAAGGAACTCTGGGGTAGCAAACTGTGCATTTTGCYAGCATAACAAGTATGCTTCAAGAAAGTTTTGGCAGTACATTTTTTTTCACTGAATAACACACAAATTACCTTACTTTGTCATATCAAAGATCCATTTATCYCAGCATCCTTTTCTCACTAAGTTCTTAAATGTATAGGTAAGAAAGGTTAACATTGGGGCAAGCAAATGTRTGTTCTCCTTCACAGTCTCCAAGCTGCCAACTGTTTTCAGCTCAGAGGACTTCTTCAGCCTCATACATTTCTGTGAACTTCATTAACTGCATAACCTTCAATACATTTTCTCCTCATGCACTTTTGCACCCATCCCCRGTGGCTGCATCAGCTTTCTGCAACTGCAACATCTTGGTTGGTAACACTTGATTTTCTTTGCTAGCTGCTACTAACATTTCCCTAGGACTATTCTGTATCACAACCTTAAGATCTTGCCCTTCAGTAACAGCACTCATCTCAGAATCCATCRTTTCATAGATGAAACCAGAATTATTTTATCCCCATATACATTTACCCCGTTTTATCCATTAGATTACTTCAATGATTCCACTACACAGTGATGCATTTTTATAGTTCCCAAATTGTTTGAAGTCCTGCATTTCACTGCCCAGGCCACACATATTTTTAGGAAACACCTACATCTTTCCAYCACAGCATTCACTCTGAATTTTTTCTCTTAACTATAACATGCAATCATTGCACAACTAGGAAGAATGGGATCATCTGTATCCTTTCATTGCAAAGAAGTGACCAAGAATAGGAAGCATGGTAGTTTATACACAAATTCCCTCCAGTAGAAGCTCTAAAAACCAGAACCCAACGTGGGAAAAATCTCCTGCTCTTTCAATCAAAAGGCAGTAACATTATGACACCTGAATTGACAGTGGATGTCAGTCATGGCAGACAAACTAACCAGTCACACTTCACATTTCTATCTTCCCTGACATCTCAGAAAAATAGAGAAGTTTTGAAAGCTTCTTGTTGTGTAACACAGCAGACTGTAGCTTCAGGACATTTCAAGTAGTCCCCTTGCAGTTAGGAGTCTCAGCTAAGACAAGTGACTTCAAAATAGGCCCCTAAGGCACCAAAAAAACCTACACTGGACTGTTACAAATCCTCTGGGTTCCATCTCATAAACAAAACAATGCTTCAGGGGCGGAAGAAATATGCTATAGATGTACTTCTCAAAAGTTAGGCACAGAATGAATGAGTAGAGTATCTTCCAGGTGTCCACATAGGGCCAAGGCCCATTATTGTGACAGTGCTTGCACTCCTAAGTGAAACTCCACCAGCTTTTGATTTGGTCATTCAGTACTTTTGGAAAAGGAAGCTGAACAGTTCCAAGAAAGGAGGAACAAGAGGACTGAAGAAAGAGAAGTCTAATGCTGAGTTCAGGGAAAGAAACACTCMATGTTTCACAGAAGATCAGGGTTTCCTCTGGAAACAAGGAAGAAGAACGCTAGATTGGAAGGGATCATCCTCCAGGATATCCTAGTCCTGCTGAATCTTGAAAATGTTCAATATTGGGAAATCCATCACTTCTTTGGGCTGAGTGAACACAGTTCCAAGTGCTAACTCTTTTGATGTTCACATTACTTAGTATGTATTACCTTAGACAACCTGGCCAAATTAGCCTGTTGTTCCAATTCTAACTGGGACTTGGTGAGCTGCAACTGCTCCTTCAGTTTTTCAATCTCATCCTGCAATTTTTGTATCTTGCCTTTGTTCTTCTGGTCTATTTGAAAGAAACACAGATTTAAAATAGGTTTGTTGCAATTTCTGGAACTGTGATACTTACTGCAAAYACATTTCTAGTGTTTTAGTAACATCTTAATGAAGTGGGACTTTCTTAGACCACTTCCCCTCCTAWTATCATGATTCTCTGTAGATGCTTTTAAATACATATATTCCCATGACTGCTAACTTACCCTCAAATCCTTAATCTTGAAACATTTTAWCAATTTACCAAGGATATACTTGCCCAGCATCTGGGAATCTGAGCACAATACAGAATATTATTTCAGAAAAAAATGCATGGGGTATTTCCCTCACAGAACAATTTCAGGCTAATCCTTTTACATGACAATCACTTCAACTGTTTCTGCAGCATCTTCCACTACCATTTCTAGTGTAAGSTGCGTAACAGCTTCTTTCTTCTCCCAGTATATTCACCTTTCCTCAGGAGCTTACTCAGACCCCTCTCACTGTGGCTGCTGTTTCATTTCCTGACAAGCTACAGTTCAGATCTCGTTAGATTCTTCCCACTTTTTCTACTCCCAAATGCTCCTTTTTCTGAACTTGTTTCTAATCACTGCCATTTGTTAAYACATGGTAGTGCTTATCAATAAAACATAAGCACACCACCTAGCAGGAAGGAGACAATCTAGATATTAATTAAAGAAACTTTCAGAATGCTGTTTTCCAAAYTAAACATCTTTCAATGAAGAGAGACAAAAGTATGCAAATTAGTGTTAAAGCAACCTTGACCATTAYAGATAGATTAAACTACACTGTTCTTAATAGTTTTCTCTTTCTCACTACATTTTACAGTCAGTTTAGTTAGAAGAGCCTGATCCTACTCAAACTGATTTCAGTTGGGGTGGACTATTTTTGTATTAATAATTCATATATGTTTAGAAAATGTATTTGCCTTAGTGCAGCTTGTTCATTTTACCCACGCCTTCGTAACATACATGCCTAAAGAGAAACTGTGCTCTGAATTGTGCTAGTGGCTAAAGTATTCAACAGAAATGCTAGTTTGAAAAGATGCTGCAAATATGACACACAGATTTTTGTTAACTATTTTCCAGAGACAGAAACATACGTTGCCCGATACACTGTATCAGTCAGTGGCACTTGCATTCACACAAATTGGTATCTGCCACATAAATATTAAAAGTAAAAATCATTCTTCCAAGTTATACAGAATCATGGACTGTACATCCTCACTATATTTACACTTTTCTAAACTACCTCCCTTAATTTTTTGATAACATTAAAGTACATACCAATCTCAGTCTCTCCTGGATGACGCCTATGAATGTGACCTTGTAAATAGGCATAGGTCATAAAAGCCTTTTCACAAAACGGGCACTAAAAAAAAAAAAGTTAAAAACATATTAGTAGCATCTTTTTGGTAAATACAATGGGCAAGGTTTTTAACAAGTTATTACGTTTTGTTCATACATCMAAAGAAGGTAACTTTAATAAATTCCATCTCACAAGAATAAGGACTAAAATTCTCATGGTACCTGATTTCTGTAAAGTATCAGGATATTAGTGCAATCTAAAGTTTCATAGTGATGGGCATGAGCAAGAAGCTGATTGTGCTAGGCACTGTATAAACTAAACAAAAAAGACTTTGGCCAAGCAAGTTCAAATTCAGATACAAACCACAGACAAGGATTCATCTATCTAGGGAGAGAACTATAACAAAAAGGTATAACAACCATCCTCAGCAAAATACAGAGTTGCCAGCCAACTAGCAACTCATATTCTTAAGATTCATGTAACACCACCAAGTAGAGCACCACACAGCTAGAAAAAAAACAATAAAGATGGGTTTGAGTTCAGTATATGAGTTGTAAGGACCATAGATATGTAAAATAATCAGATATTTCAACCAAGAGAAGTTAACAATACACAATTTTATAAGAAAAGGTACGTAGCTACATTAGTATGCTACCTAGCATCCTTCTGATGCAYGAAGTTGTTTCAATTACAGTTTCGATAACTTACTTACTAAAAATTTTAAGTCAAAACACCCTTTTTGTTCACCTTCAAAATACATTACTTACATTCAGAATATATTAAAAATAGATGGGTAGTACAAGGACAGAAGCTACATCTACAAASTCTGTAATATACTTTAAGACCACGCACGAGGGTCAGTCACCACTTTAGGGCTGCTCATCACCTCTATCTCATACTTTTTTCCAAATAAATATGTTTTACCAAACCACAGACACTCAGATAAATAAGTAATATTTCCTTATCAGTGYGATATGACTGCAAGAAACCAACTTAACAGATTCAAGATTTTGTCACCATAATCAGTACCAGAAGGAGGACTTGTGGAACTACAGGCCCGTCAGCCTGACCTCAGTGCCTGGCAATGTTCTGGAAYGGAGCATCTTCAGTGTGATCACACACAGGACAACCAGGGGATCAGACCAGCCAGAATGGGTTTATGGGTTTAGAAAAAAAATGGTCCTRCTTGATCAACCTGATCCTCTTATGACCAGATGACCCACTAAGTGGATGAGGGAAAGGCTGTGGATATTGTCTACMWGGACTTCAGCAAAGTCTTCGATACCATYTACCACTGCTCCTGGAAAAGCTGGCAGCCCATGGCTTGGAGAGGTGCTCTCTTCTCTGGGTTAAGAAMTGTCATGATGGATGGGCCCAGAGATTGTGGTGAATGGTGTAGCATCCAGTTGCCATCTGGTCAGTAGTCGTGTCCCCAGGGATCAGTGTTGGGGCAGCCCAGTTTAACATGTTTATTGATTATTTGGATCGGGGGATTGAATGCACCCTCAGTAAATTTGCCGACTGCATGAGAATGCTGATCTGATAGAGGGAGGAAGGCTCTGCAAAGGGATTTGGAYAGGATGGATCAACAGAGACTTAATTATATGAGCTACTACAAGATCAAGTGCCAGGTTGTTCCCTTCAGCCCCAATGACCCCYTGCAGCACTACAGGCTAGGGGAAGTRTCTGTAAAGCTGCTCAGTTGGAAAAGAACCAGAGGGTGTTGGTCAACAGCTGCTGAACTTGAGCCAGCATGTGTCCAGGTGGCCAGGAAGGCAAATGATATCCTGGCTTGTGTCAGCAGTACTGTGGCCAGCAGGACCAGGACAGTGATTGCCCCTCTGTATTCAGCATTGGTGAGGCTGCCTCCCACCTCAAATCCTGTGCCCTGTTCTGGGCCACTCACTAAAAGAAGGACATTGAGGTGCTGGACTGAGTCTAGAGAAGGGCAATAGAGCTGGTGAAGAGGGTAAGACCTATGAGGAGCAGCTGAAAGGGCTGGCAGTGTTTAGCCTGCAGAAAAGGAGGTTGGGGGAAACTTTATCACTCTAAAACTTCCTGAAAGGGAGTTGCAATAACACAGGGGTTGGCCTCTTCTCCCAGACAACAAATGACAAGACAAGGAGATTTAGCCTCAAGCTGTGCCAGGGAAGGTTCAGGCTGGACATCAGAAGGAATTTCTTCATGAAAAGGGGGGTTAAACATTGGAATGGACCACCAAGAGAGGYAGCAGAGTCACCATCCCTGGATGTGTTCAAGAAACGAGTGAACAGTGCACTTAGTGCCACAGTCTAGTTGATAAGACSTTGATTAGTCAGAAGCTGTGCTTGATGATCTCAGATGTCTTTTCCAAACTAAATGATTCTGTGACTATGTGAAATTCCCAGATTGCATATAATATTTAAAATGCTGCCACTGGTAGTCAGCCATTCTACAAAATACCTTCCAGCAAACTCTAAAACCATGAATAATTAAGTTGAATTTTGTTGAACAAATGCAAGACCTAATATAAAACCAAAATAAAGTGATATAGTATGGCAGCAAAGCATTACTGCCAACCAAGAGGGAGCTTACAGTGTAACAGATTGCACATGATTTACAGAATTAAATTGTCTGTGAAATAATGTTATCCATTCAAGCACAAACTTCATGTCAGACTTGCTGGTAGTGAAAGAAGCTCTTACTGCAAGAGACAGGATTAACACAGGGAATATTTAGGATTTCAATTATGCAACACTTTTCTTGCAACTACTTTTCACAATGTTAGACCACAACATGCACTTTATGCCTACATTGTACATGAGAATGTAAGATTTCTGAACAAAGTATTGATGAAAAGGGAAAAATACTATTTAAAATTAAATGTGTATTRCTCATGAAAATACTGACCAACAAGTCTTAAACTTATGACTTGTAGACATCAGTACAATTTTATAGTAGCAYTTCATAGTTAAACTTACATTGATGGTGGATTAGATACTACATCCCAATTCCAAAATATGTTTACATTAGCTGTAAAGTGCACCTCCACTAAAAAAAAAGGAAGTAACAGGCTTATCTGCAAAACATCCATGATTTTGAGGGGATGGAATCTGAACTACCCTCTCAGGAACACCAGTAAAGCCCCTATTATCTGGCAGCCAAGATCAAGGCACAAATAAATATCACACAGCTATTGTTTACTGACCACACTACTACCCTGCATTTACAAACACTAGGAAGAGTGTTTCATTTATCTCTGGCATTYACACTCAGAATCCTGAAAATACTGCAGGAACAAATGGGAAATACATTTCCATCTCTGTTTTCCTGCAAATGCCATTGAACAGATTAATAATGAGACAAGTTCACCACCATGTTTTTCAGCTTCCACAGAGAGAGTTGCACACTGCAAATATTTCCAGAAAACTTGATAATATCTGGCAATCACAGTATGATAATTATTTAAGTTTACACATAAAATGACACGGGCATTCAGTTTTCTTCTGCAAAACAGGACAGAAAGCTGCTTTGCAAGTTTCATAAAGGTTTTTTTAAACAATATATCAGCAGCTTGTTCTTCAGACTAATGCTTGAATGCATGAATGTAGCCCTATGTACAGTTCTACTCTTGGGGCATAAGGTACCTTTTCCCTTTAAGAAACACTTGAGCCAACTTAGTTGAYGTCTTAAAATATAGAACTTTGCCTGTAACTTTAAATGTACAGAGCTAGCCCAAAACCATGTCAAGTGTGCCTCCAGTGCACGCTTTAGACTTCAAATTACATTTGAAACTGAAATTCGCATTCCTGAAACCTGGTGGAAAATGCTGAAACTGAAAAATACTCAAATCAAACTACCGCACCATTATTAGTGAGGCAAAAAACCCTCCCAATAAAAACAGAGTGCCATGACACTCAGTCAGAACAGCTATGTACTAACGCTCTTAAGGAAGACCTTTCAGGRACAGATTGTTGTGGAATCAGAGCTGGGCTAACTCACTGAAGCTCTTTACCATTGCCTGAGTCACTTCTGAGTCACAGACACAAGCAGAAACTTGGTGCCTGGAGAACATCAGTGCAGGACAGTGACTACTCGCAGACTCTACATTACAGTTCAGGATCAGTTTTGATGTACTTGCCCTGTATGTTTTCTGACCTTGCAGTTGACAGACAAGCAAAGACAGCAACACAAAGTAGTAACACATTTATCACAGGTTTTGTGTGTGTATCTGACACTTCAGATGCATCTAAAGCGAATCCAAGAGTAAAGAGTGCTTGTTATTAGAAAGAGAATTTGTTAAGATGATGTAGCACTCTTGCAAGGGTCTCTGAAACACAGAAGGAAAACAAGTGCAAGCAATGCACTTCCTTTAGCAAGGTCACTGATCCTTGCAGTTCCAGCCTTTCACCCAGCAGGCAACTGCACCCCAGCAGAGCAGGGCCACTTCTGCCACCCATCCCAGCTCAGAGCTGGCAATGTGTGAGTGACTGGGCCAGCAGCCCCTCTCCTCTCACCTGGTGGTAGTTGGCTCGTGCCTCCATCATCATCTGCTGGGTGCTGATCATCTTCTTCCTCCGCCGGCACTCCTCCTTGAGCCCCTGGATCTCCTGCAAGCGCTGGGCCACCTCCTTGCCCAGCTGGTCGCGCTGGGCCTGTGTCTCTCGCAGGGCCTCCTCCAGGCTGCCGAGCTGGGCGCTGAGATACTCCTGGGAGTGCAGCAGGTACTCGGTGTTGAGCTGCGCCAGGCGCAGCAGCTTCAGCAGCAGCGGGTCTGCGGGGCCCTGGCAGTGCGGGCAGCACTCCCGCTCGGCGTTGCAGAAGGTGACGTGCTCCAGGTGCACCTGCAGGGCCGCCACGTCCCCCTCCCGCGACACCCGCTCCACATCCACGGTGCTCAGCCGCCGCCAGTCCGGGTTCTCATGCCGCGCGCGGAACTGGAACGCGGGAAACGCCGCGGGCCCCGCGCCGGGCCCTGCCGCCGGCGGGTGGTATGTGCGCTGGGAGAAAGGCTGCGGGAGAGAGACACGGCTCAGCCCGGGCCGCCAGCCCACACCCCCCCCGCCCGTCCCGGCGCTCACCATGTCCGGGCTCCGTCCCCGCCGCTCCGCTCGGCGCCGGCGTCCTCCGCGTCGCTATGGCAGCCCCGGCCTGCACGGGGGGAGGCTGCAGTGACGCCGGGCTGTACCTCCTCCCGCCCGCCCCGCCGCTCCCCGCCCCAAGGCCCTTCGGCTCCGCGCTCGGCACAAATCCCGTCCCCTTCCCCCTCCCAGCATCCTCCTCCCCCGACGCCTCCACAGTCTCCCGGCAGCGCCGCGCTAAGGAGCCCTCTCCCGTGGGTCCCGGTGCTTCTCCTGCCCCGCGCACCATGCTCATGCTTYACCATCTTCACACACCACTCGCACYAGCAAACACATCCCCGGCTCCGCTCTTACGGATATTCACCTTTAACACAATTACACAGTGTATACTCTCTCTCCACATTCCCTTCACTTCTGTGAAGTCTGTACATGGCACCCGGCTGGCACGCTCACTGCTTCAGCGTGCCTCCTCCCCAAGCTGCGCCTCCTCCGTGCTGCTCCCGACTCAAACCTTTCTCACTCCACCATGACTTACACTCCTCTAGCCCTGTGCTGTCCWATGCCCTTCTCCAGCCTCACCTACTCATCCATCTCCCAGATACGATGACACCTGTCACCTCCCCACCATCAGCATACATACACAATGTCATTTCTCTGCACATCTGCCTCACGCTGCTGCACCCTCATGTGCCTCTGATGGTAGCTCTGTGCAATCCCTCCAGTGCARCTCCATACCCCTCCCAATGCCCACACACCAGCGTGCTGCTTCCACACGCTCTCCTCACTCATCAGATCAACACACCTCTGCCGGGTATCACCACACACTAGACCCACTCTTGCAACCATACAACCCTACAAGCTCGCCACATCTGTCATTCCTGTCTCCTACCAATCCCAAACACTTCAGCCCCATGAAGTACATAATGGCTTGCGTACATCACCTAATTCACCATTCATGCCCAAATACTTTTCCTCAAGGCAACCAACAATTTCTGCCTATATCCCTGCCCCACTACAATTTCGAGTACTCTCCAGTTCGGCATTCCCATTCTCCTGCTCAGTTGCTTCAAACGCTGTTTCTGAGCACACAAAACTATCCTATTCCCTCACTTAACTTTACCACTCTTCTCCAAAACSCTGCTCTTCCTGTTACCATTTCTTAATATTTCTGTCCCCTATGCAATGTCTACCTTAAGGCCATGTTCCATGTTTATACTTCCCTAACTTTTCAKTCCCTTTCACACATATTTCAGTTTCTCATCCTCTTGGTCATTCCTGGATACCATACATCTCCAAGAACATTCACACAATATATATTTGATCATACACTCCACTCTGTAGGTTCCTTTATATCATGCATTACTCACAGAGACGTTCTCAAGGGATCTCTGGTGATCATCGTCAGTCCAGATTTCTGCCGGACACTAGTTCACATCACCTGTGGCATTTAAGATGAACAGACAGTCCATGACCTCCCTGTACAACCTGTTGCATGTCTGTGCTCTCCTCCTAATGRAAACATTTTTCCTAATATCTCACCGAATATCTGCTATTACCAAGATTAAAAAATGATTTGAATATTTTTGCTACAATTGTTCAAGTAATTGTAGGCCATTAGTAGAGTGACCCTTTGCCTTCTCCTAACCACATCAAATAAGCCCAGCTCCCTCAATTTCTTCTCACAGATCATGTACTGTAGATCCTAACCATCTTGTTAGGCCTCCTTTGTCCCCTTCCAGCTCTTCCACATAGTTCAGATTCCCCCTTAATATTTCCCTTCATTCACCTCCTAGGAACTTGCAATGAGCCTCACCTCYCATCTGCACATTGCCCTCTCCAATAAAAACAGTAACATGTCTACCATTAATCACAACATAGTACCCATAAAAATACCAGCAATGTTGCTACATGCATTAACACAACGACCCTCACAAATTACAGGCTCTTAGTTTRATATAGGTTTCTATGTTGATTCTTGCTTTTTGGACCCTTAACCTTAAGCCTACTGGCCATACTTTACTGCAATACCCAAGGYTGAGTTCCACTCAGATTCTTCCATCACTTATCATGCCACTTGTTTTYAATTTAGAAAGATACTCTGTGATGTTTTCACCATTGCAGTCTTCTCCTGCAAGGATGTCGTTTTTGCCACCTCCTTTTCCATGAACAGTCTCCAGCAAATTGTTACTTTCAAAGAAATCTATTTAACATTTTTTTTATATATCAAATACAGATTTGCCTGGTTTGCCACTGAACTTTGCACCGCTCTGAGTCCTGAAGCAAGGAAATATACTGCTTATTTTCTTCAGAGCCATTTCTAACAACACAGACTCACTTCCATTTAGTGTACAAATACCCTTACATTTGTAAGCAGCTAGATTTTTTAAAATTCTCAAGTACTGGCTACTGTCCAAAATGTTCATRCCTCAAATTCTTTAAAATGCCTTGAAAAACATGCATTTGAATGTTTTTTTTCTAATCAAAGGAACGTTTAAGTTACATATAATGAAATCTAACTCCCAAAGATCTGAGCCTAATATGTGCTCCATCTTTCTGACTTAGGAAAAATTTCTTTACATGAAAAGCATGTAAATTTTGCAAGCTACCAATTTGTATGTCAAGGAGAAGGAGCCTGAAAAAGCACCCTTTAAATAAGGGCCTTTCACTGACAGATGCATGRGTTTAATTAGAAAAAAATAACCAAACATTATTTAAAGCCAGCAAAGTAAACCAAGCCTGAGGGTAGCTTATGCTCCTCAGCTAACRTATTTAGTCAGGAACATTCATACAGATTTGCATGCTCCTACAACTAAACCTGCTTTAACTGAACATGACCTTGCAGCGCTACATCATCTATGCATCATATAATGGTCTGTGTGGGAAGGCACCTTAAAGGCCATCTAGTWGCAACCCGCTGCCATGGGCAGGGACACCTTCCAGTAGACCARGTTACTCAGAGACATATCCAACCTGGCCTTGAACACTGCCAGGGATGGGACGGGCACCACGAYGCTGAGAAGAGGCACAAGCCGCCCAGGTATCTCAATGGAGACAGAAAAAGTACGGACGGACTGAGACGGCCCTTTTCCATCTTTTCCCCTTTTTTTCTGCCGGATTTACTCTGCTCTGGGAACTSTGCCCATGAGGAATTTAGGGCCATCACCCACCCGCGGGGCCCCCTCGATCAGAGGTGGCACCGCCTGCTCTCCCGAACACCCCACCCCGCCGGGGCGGGCGGCACCGGGGAAAAGCGGCATTTCCCMGCGGCGGTGCCCGCGGGCCAGGCCCGGCCCCGGCGCTCCGGGAGGCGGCCGAGCACGGCCGGGCCTGCGGGAGGCCCTGAGCCGGGCTCCATCTGCCTGCCAAAACCTCCGGCTCCGCTTCGGAGCGCGGCCGCCTCGCCGCTCCCTCCCGCCCGCCCCCGGGGAGAGGCCCCGCCGGGCGCTGCCTCCCGCCACCGTCCTGCGCTCGGGGTGGGGGAGAAGGGGAGCCCCCTGCGCTCACCTCGGGCTGCCGCTCCGCGGGGCTCGGCTGGCGCCGCCGGGCGCGGAGGGGCGGCGGCGCCTCCGCCGGGCCCGTCCCGCGCCGGGCCCGCTGCCCCGAGGCCGCGGGTGGCGACTGGGGGGGCCGGCGGCCGGGACAGGCGAGAGCTSCCCCGCTGCTCGCCGACTCTCGCTCCTTGATGTTGATGCCCAGGCGGGATGTCCTTTGTCTCGGTCCCGTCCCGAGCGTCTCCGACCGAGAAGCAGCCTTTTCTCCTCCTTTTTGTRAAATGCAAGGGAAGTCACAACAAGCTTTGGAAAGGCTGCCTTTGGAGATTCAAGGCACGTTTTGCCACGCAGGCACCGAGCACGACACGTTTAATTAAACCTGTGGAGCTGCGAACTTCTCAGCGGGATGGGGAGTCCCCGGCGGCGCGGAGACGGCGGCGCGGCAAGGCAGCGGTGGGGCGGGGGCAGGAGCCCGCCTGGCCACGGAGAGGGATGGCGGGTTTGGAGGGTTGCAGGAGCGCTCCTGCCTACCCAGCTGGATGGGAGGCTCGAGGGGCTGCAGGATCCCGTCTGCCTGCCTAAATGGAAGGGGGGTTGAGGGTTTCAGAAGCCCGCTTGGCCGCCGAGCTGGAGCGGTGTCTGGAGATCTTGCAGGATCCCGCCTGCCCGCCGAGATGCAGGGGGCAGTTGCGGGTCTGCAGGATTTTGCCTGCCGCCGAGTTGGAGTGGGGCTTGTTGGGSTCCAGAGGCCTGACTGCCTGCCGAGCTGGAGGGGAGCCCGAGGGTCTCAGAGTGTAGTGCTGACTCCAGCGGGAAAAGTTGTGAATCTTTTGTGTTTCTCGACGTATGCAGGAAAACATCATGTTCCRGTACAAGGATAAGGCCGGGAGTATGCTTTCCTGCAGGTATCTTAACCGAAGTAGTGTCAGGTGAAGTTGTCATTTTCAATGAAAATATGTATTATGTCTTTCAGCTAGATTGATTCCAGCAGCTACAGATTGCATCAGATTCTTCCAATTTTATTCCTTTTCCCTGTAAGCATTTTGAATTTTGTTTTTCTGTGACAAATGCTGTGCAGCCTTTGTGGCCACAAGGAAAATTTCAAACAGTTTGTATTCAGTATAAATTATGGTAGCAAATTCAGTGATGAAGGTAATCAYTAGACATTTACAACACCTAATCTTCATTTAGGAATTCCATTTGGCCGGGGATACACCATTGTGTTTTCCAAAGTACGCAGACTTACCAATTTACCTTGCTGAACCATGAAATTCTGTTGCAACAGTGTAGATGTGGTCACATGTGCTGTGAACATCAGTTTTAACAAAAGAGGTAATCATTCAAACACTTCAGTTTCTGATGCTCTAAGGGTACTTCAGCATGCTCCAGTGAGTGTGTGTTCAGTCCAGAGGATCAGGCTAGTCTGAAGGAAAACCTGAACATGTATCAAATGTGGATGTCTAGTCCTCAGAACTAGTGACTTCTGCTTCTGCAGATCTGTGTCTGTGGGATACTAAAGCAGACATTGCCAGTGGAAGATGCTGTATCAAGGCTTTAGTAGTGTGGTGAACCTTAATTAGGAGAGGACTTGGAAAACCAGCAGTGCGATAGTTACAGCCTCTGTGGCTCAGGCCTAGAGGCAAAGATGCAATAAATAAATAAAGTTGATGAACACTTTATGTGAATGGTTGGAGCACTCARAGAGCAAGAGGCACAAATGCAGTCCCTTCTGTGCCCAAGAACTTTTGTATCTCATACCATTAGAATGTCATAACGGCAACAGCACAGACAGTTCAGCATGCCTTCTAAGGATCTCTCTTGCTATGAAAAGTAGGTTTTTATGTCAAAGTAAATGCTCACTGGGTGAGAAGATGCTGGTAATCCTCTTCAGTTGGTGAGGGAAGGGGTGTATGAAGTGTGCAAAAACATGTGGATCTTGGTTGCTTATTCTACTATTTGTTTGATGCAAAATACATTAGCAGGTCTTGGATGAGAGCTGTAACCAGGATTTTTGTGCTGCAAGGGAAGGGCTCTCACCCTGTCATTCTTTCACTCTTAATTTGTTCCAGAGCTTGATTAATCTTTAATTACTAGCTGTAGGTAGTACAGCCTCACTTGGCAAGGGTGGGTATTCTTTAACCCACATTAATGGTGAGTTCTACCCTTATATACCTGGTGATAAAAGTGCTCTCCTAAAACAGGTGTGGATTTACTAGGAGAGGACCAAGAGCATTTGCAAGGTATTTGTAATGCTCATGGAGGGTACCTGCAACTGGGCAACACAAAAATGACAGTATTCTGATTGTGGGGTGAAATATGAAGACATCTTGGCACTGGTTGTTAGGGAAATGTCCTGGGTAGCAGGGATGTCAGTGTGGCTCGGTTGCATAGTGGATTGTCAGGGCAGGACCCAGCMTCCATGGCCCATCCCACCATCCAGCCAGGAACAGGGGGCACTGGGGCAAGACCCAGTCCAGGGCATTAGGCACCTCCTGGGGACAGGGATGGGCTGAGGCTGGGCAGGGCAGGCCTGTGGGGCGCTAGAGACTTCTGCAGTCTTGCTAGGGGACTGACATGGGATCCTGGGCCCTAGGCACTGGGGGGAGGCTGGGCAGGGGCAGCCAGGCCTGGCGGTGCCCTCAGGGCACTGGTGTGATGTGTTAAATGAAAAAGTTATTGGTGTACTTTGTGGTATGGAGGACGACTACACATGTGCTACAAGATGCTTTAATTTGAGAGGGCAGTGGAAAACTGTCTTGGGAACTGAGAAATACTCTTCAGTAATCTCGCTCCTACAGCGCTCTTAGAGTGACGCGTAGAAGTAATCATTAACTCTGRTGGAAAGTTGACTTCACCAGAATGGTGCAAGTATAATAATGAGTCTAGCCAGATTCTTAGTTTATTTAATCTTTTCCTTCCTGCCAGTTTCCACCACAGCACATTTTTCAATTTTCAAATGAGTGGCTGTGTGATGCTTAGTTGCCTGGCTGGGGTTAAACCACGACAAATACCTGTAATATTTCTGTTTGTTCAATCTTCCCATCACTCAGTTTGCTTGAGGAAATAATTAATATATTTTTATCACAGGAAAACAAACATTTAAAAGAAAGGTAGAATGAACCATTCTCCTGACCCTTTGGTGTCACCACCTTCATTCCAACAAATGCCACCACATGCAATTAAGCAGTTTGAAGAGACACTGCTCCATGTAGTTTAATAAATTCTATGTTTAATTTTGAGTGTTTCTGATTCTTCAATTTAAATATTTTTTATCTTCAAATAAAACAGTTTCTCTTAGAAGTTTCTCTTCATGTAACAAGTCTAGTTTGATTTTACTGAGATGGCCAGTTCATTTATCTTCCTTTGTTCAAAACTTGGAGAGAATTCAGCCTAACTATAGAGAAATGTCTGCAAGGGCACTGAAATAATTKATACAATTAGGGCAATAGAAAGGTCACAAAACCAAGGATTTGGATTTTAACACTTAGCTACCTCTAGGTGAATTTTAAATGGCATTCATTTTCTAACAACTACATTGCACTTTTTCATTTACTGGGCTATAATAATTTTTGTAGACAAGAAATAAACTGTATGAGAAAGGAAAATGAACCACCATCTCTCAAAACCTCAATCACRTGATATATAAGGGCGATGTTTTCCCCACCTTTTGTTTTCCCCCCAGATATTGCCAATTCCCGTACTCTGGTACTGGGTGTCCTCTCAGGACTTTTCGAAGTCCTGCATTCAGCAAAACTCTTAATTTTTGAAAACAAGGAAATGAAGGGTTGATCCACTCTGCAGGATATACGCAAGCTCTTTGTTGTGTTCCTTAGGTTGCACTTGTCTGCAAATTGCTGTGCTGGCTYGCAAGAAGGATTTGCTGAAGGAAACTTGTGAGTTTGAGCAGAGGTAATGCATAGACATAGATGGTTCTGCTTGGTCTCTGGATATCTGGTTCTAAGAGATATGCAAGATGCCCCATTTCTTGGGCCATTATTGCTGCCCTAGCAAGGTGAATTCTGTTGTCTTTCGAACTGTTAGCAGTTTAAGGGTAAATTAAGTCTTTTGATCCTGCAGTTGGGTGTGTAAAAGAGGATGCTGGATGGCATCACAGGTCAATGGCTTACATGATTGTAAAACTCTGCATGAAGGGTATTCTGTTGCCTCAAGTGGATTGAATTAATAATGTCTTGAGAGACAGAAACATCCATTTGGGAAGGAAAAATATGGAGGTGTCTGCTAGAGCAGACAGAAGTAAGGCTGCACATGATCTAAATTGAGGTTAAAGTCCTTGGAAGGAGGGAGCTTTGCTTGTTTGGTGTTTTAGCAGACATAAAACAATAATGAACACCTTCAGGGATGGCACAGTACTTTGCAAATGGTATTTTTCACAGTTTRTAAAATCAGAGACATTCAAGAGAAACAAAACAGTTTGCAGGTATCACAGAGATTTGAAACTTGGAGTTGAGCTGACAAAAATACCTGTAATAATGATAGTTAAACCAAAATCAGTTTCAGGGAAATCAAAACTAGGTATGCAAATACACTAAATTTCAGAAATTGCATCAGTTGAGAAACAGGAAGAGTTCATTAMTGTTAACATTTTTCATATGTTTTCAAAACAAAATCCTTTACATCAGAAAATTAACAGTATTCCCAATGGTTGAAGCAAAGTTTTTTGACTTTCAGAGATGCATTTTAATTGAAAAATGTACTGTGCCCTAAAAATAAAATACATGTTTTAATAGGGACATGTTTTCATAATAAATATTTTGTTCCCTTGCCCTAGACAAGACTGGACCCTCACATTCCCTTTCAAGTCCATAAACAAAGATCAGCTTTTCTAAGTGCAACTTTAGAGCACGTGAATTAAGTTTTTGTGCTGAACTGCCAGTTGTAGGAGCCTTTCTGTTTCAGTTTGCTGCAAAGGAACACAGAAAAAGGAATTTCCTCACAGTCCTCTCCTCTCCACCAATCCAAATGTGAAATTCCCAAAAGGTGTGGTTACATAAATAAAAATACTTACCTTAAGCAGATATACACTACTATTTTGTTTAGCTCCATCACAGGTAGGTTTGTGACAGAGATGTACATAGGTGAGAATAAAAATAAGGTACAAGGACTGGGAGACCTTCCACAAGTAGAAATCCCGAGAATACTACCTCTGTGTTATCATCCTCTCTCACCTCATCCTTTATTTTCATAATAGATTGTGCATGCAATACAACAGTCTGCTATATTGCTACTTTTCCTGTATCATGAAACTTTTGTTAGGATGGTTTTGGAATCGAGRTTATTAATGAAATTGTATCACCAAACATACCAGGCTCCTCCACGTTTATAACTACCTCCACCAAATGTCACCTTATTCAGTTCACTGTCTCTGAAGCAATGAGTAGCTTCAAGAGTCATTTCTTGCTAATTGCCGCCCTCTGATGTTACTGTATATTACCAGCAGCAACTCAGAAAAAATTCCATGGTTTTCTATCTTTCGAGCACTTGGAACATTAGGGTAGTCTTTGCAATCTGCCTTTTCATGGCAAATTTGAGACTTCTGAAGAAACTTGTTTCTAAAACCAGCCTGATTTTTATGAATCTYTTTGAAARCATTTTTACATTGCAGCTATATTGCTTTGCTATTTTTCAAATTCCAAAACACAGGATCATAGAATATCCTGAGTTGGAAGGGACCCTCAAGGATTATTGAAGTCCAACTCCCAGCCTTGCACAAGACAACCCCAAAAGTCCCACGTGTACCTGAGAGCATTGTCCAAATGCTTCCTCAGTTCAGACAGACTTGGTGCTGTGACGATTTCCTGTGGAGCCTGTTCCAGTGCCCAGCCACCCTCTGCGTAAAGAATCTTTTGCTGATATCCAATCTAAATCTCCCCTGACACAGCATCATGCCATTCTCTTGGGTCCTGGTCACCATGCTGGCATTTGTCCCTTTGAGTCTTTCTCCTCTTCTGCTTTTGCAATTGCATGAGGGATCGTGTAGTGGGTTGATCTTTGCTGGACGCCAGGCACCCACCRAAGCCTCTCTAKCACTYCCCTTTACAARTGGACAAGGGAGAGAACATACAAGGGTTCACAGGCTGAGATAAGGACTGGGAGACATCACTCWCCAAGTACCACCGCAGGCAAAACAGATGTGAATTTGGGATATTAATTGAATTTATTCCTTACAAAATCAGCGCAGGATAATGAGAAGTAAAATAATTCTTAAAAACACCTTTCCCACATCCCTCTGTCCTTCCCATGCTTTACCTTCTCCCCCAGTGGTTCAGGGAGATGGGGAATGCAGTCATGGTCAGTTCATCACACATTATTTCTGCTGCTTCTCAGGGAAAGGAGTTCYTCCCCTGCTCCAGCAAGGGGTCGCTCCCAACAGACACAGTTCTCCATTAACTTTTCTGACATGAGTCCATCCCACAGGCAACAGTATTCCCTAAACTGCTGCAATGTGRGTCACTCTTCTATGGGGTGCAATTGTACAGGCAGAACCTGCTTCAGTGTGGGTTCCCCCACAAGGTYACAAGTTCCACCAGGAAACCTGCTCCAGTGTGGGCTCATCTCTCCATGGTTTTCAGATTCCTGCCAGGACCTGCTCCAGCATGGGCCTCCCGTGCTCCGGTTTTCACTGCTGCTCCCACAGCATCACAGTCTCCTCTCAGGCATCCACCTGCTCCAGCACGGGCTCCTCCACAGGCTGCAGGTGGATCTCTGGATCCCCATGGACCTCCATGGGCTGCAGGGACACGGCTGCCTCACCATGGGCTGCACCATGGGCTGCAGGCGAATCTCAGCTCCAGTGCCTGGAACACCTCCTGCCCCTCCTTCTGCACTGACCTTGGTGTCTGCAGAGCTGTTCCTCTCACATGTTCTCACTCCGGCCTTTGCTGACCTCAATTACAACTGCACAAGAACTTAGTTTTCCCCTTTTTAAATATGTTATCACTGAGGTTCTACTGCCATTCCTGATAGATCCAGYCTTGGCCAGTGGCATGTCTGTCCTGGGGCTGGGTAGCATTGGCTCTGCTGGGCAAGAGGGAAGCTTCTGGCAGCTTCTCACAGAAGCCACCCCCTGTAGTCCCTCCGCTACCAAAATCTGGCTATGCAAACCCAATGCAATGTAGTAAAGGATTTTTTTCTCCCACGTTTACACTTAATATCTAAGTAATATCTTTCATGGTTTATATCCTCCTTCAAAAACAACTGTGTAATTCTGTGCACATGGTAGCACTTCTAGGAGAAGGTGRCAGTGATACATTCTTTTTCTTTGAGCAGATAATTTTGTAGTGGTATCATTACACATTTTTCTTTACATTCCTGTGTCAGCCTGAAATATTGACCTTGGCTCTGTATWTCAGGGCCAAGGTAAAGGACCACGAGCTTGTCAAGCATCTATTCAAAGTAATATATACTAATGCTTTAATCCTATGACTTTCATCTTGCTTTAAGAAATTTGATACTTGAACCTTTATGCTTGCTATTTCAGCTTAGTGTTTAGAAATACTGAGCTTTCTCCAGCTTGTTTGCTCCTAATCTTATTTCTAAGGGTCCATTATGTGTATCATCATCCTTGGCATTATTTTCAGTTATCTTGTGGAGTTGAAGGTGTAAATTCCCCTTTCATACTGATTTTATCAGGCTTTAGTCTAATACTTTTTTCTTCAGGTAAATCAAAGGAATTAATTTGCTGTAACAGTGATTGTCTGCTCAGATGCAGACAATATCATATTTTGTCTTGTCCTCAGTGTATAGAGTTAYCACATTCTTTCTTATGCATTCTTAGAATGTAATCAATTATTAATTTCACATCTATAATTTCTTATGTCAGATTCTTATTTATGAATGTCTTCTGCTGGTAAAATTTCTTGGTGATAGCTTGGAAGCATCTTGTTCCAATTGAAATGCTCAAGAGGAATAACCTACTTTTCTTTTTTTTCAGTCTGATCTTTCAAGAAAGCTTGWGAATTAGACCACCTAGAGTTAAAATATAATGTGACCATACCTGCAGAATGAAAGAAAAAATTTCTATGTTTGCCAAATCAGAATTCAAGCCTCAAATTTTTTATTTTCTCAGCAGATTTCCCCTGAACATGAGTGTTGGTTTTATTTATTTATTTTTTTTTTTACATTTGTGGGTTATAACATAGAATATGCCCCTRATATGAATTGTTTATCCAAAACTGAAACCATTTGAAATAATTTGAAATAACAAACAACTGGCCACATAACAGGGTTAGATTTCCTGTGGTAGCTGAGAATATTGTCTTTTCGTTATGAAAAAAAAAAAAAAAGGAAGATCCCCAAAAATGTGTTAGATTACATGTTGTTTTACATGGTCTTAGCTTTCACTTAAAAAAAAAAAAACCACAGAGAGACATAGAATGGCTTGGGTTGGAAGAGACCTTTAATACCATCTCATTCCAACATCCCTGCCGTGGACAGATACACTTTCTACTAGATCTTCTTCTACTGTATGGCTGTGTCAGAAGCACCTATAAAGAGCCAAGAGGAATTTACCTGTGACTTACTGTCCAATTTTTCTACAATTTGCATAGTCTGGGCATACTGTCCTTAAAGAATGTAGGGTAACAGCCGCCAACACACCCTGAAAAGTGTTAATCTCACTCCACCACCCATCCCCAGCCATTCCATCCCTGGTCTGCCCCAGGACAAGAAGCCCACATCCTTCTCCAGGCCTGCCAGCACCTGGGGAGCACCCTCTGATGGACCTGGAACAAAGCCCTCTTCAGTCCTTGAGAAGCCCGAATTCTGTAGTGTTGCCACTACAGGGAGTCTCTAAACWCAGACACAGGGCTAGTTAAGAAAGGACRTTGTTTATTCTGTGCACGGTTCAAGGTGGAAATTTTCCACAAATCAAACACACCAATTCACAAAACTTTATGCTATATATACATTTTAGCAAGCAAAGAAATCACAGCTCATTGGCTAAAAGTTATCTAGTTCTCTTTTAAATTCGTATTCTATCTTGCACTGGTTAAGTGATTCTCACACTTCTCATGCTAATTAGCCTGTATACTCAACCTTTCCTTTTGAGTTGGTGGCCGGTGAGTTGCTCTGGTTTCCACTGCTGCTCCCAAGATGCCATGAACTTTCACCAATTCCTTCCACTACAAATAGCACAGGGACTTGTGGCRCTTTTGCATCAAGCACAGCATTGCCAGCCGGGCAGGGGAGSTGATTGTCCTGCTCTGCTTTGCAGTCGTGTGCCCTCACCTTGAATATTGTGTGCAGTTTTGGGTGTGACAATATAAGAAAGACATTAAGCTATTCAACCGTGTCCAAAAGAGGGCCATGAGGATGGTGCAGGGCCTGGAAAGGAAGCCATATGAGGAGTGGCTGAGGGCACTTGGTCTCTGGAGGAGAGACCTATTTGCAGTTACAACTTCCTCATGAAGGGGAGGGGCAGACACTGGTATCTTCTGTGGTGAGTAGCGACAGGACCCGAGGGAATGGCCTGAAGTTGTGTTAGGGAAGGTTTAGGATGGTTATTAGAAACAGGTTCTTCACCCAGAGGGTGTTTGGGCACTGGAACAGCTCCCCAGGAAAGAGGTCACAGCACCAGCCTGACAGAGYTCAAGAAGTGTTTGGACAATGCTCTCAGGCACATGGTGTGAYTCTTAGGGATGCCCTGTGCAAGGCCAGGAGCTGGACTCTGATCCTGATGGATCCCTTCTAACTCAGGAAATTCTGTGCTTCCGTGGTAAGGCAAGACTCCTTATTTCCCAATCGGATTTTCGTTCTCTGTATTTCTCTGGGTAAATTGTTAACCATTTCTGACTCTCGGGACGTCAAGATGAGCAGGGCAGGGGTGGGCAAAGAGACGGGAARTGAAATGGAAAGGCAAACAGGTACAAGCCGCGCGTGCCTTTTAGCAGGCGGCCCGGGGCGGGGCGCCGCCATCGCTGCTGAGGGCCGGAGCCACCCGCGCCGCCATGTTGGGTGAGGGCAGCGCTGCGGGGACGGGCGCGCTCGCGCCGCTCCCTCACGTCCGGCGGAGGGCGCCAGGCAGGGGCGGGCGCGCGCGGCGCGGCCAATCAGCGTCGCCCACGACCCTCCCCGGAGGAGCTGGAGCCGCCGGTCGCTTGGGCCGGGTCCGGAGCCGCCACTGTCGGGACGGGGGGCGGCGACGGAGGAGGAGATGGTGTCCCCCGCTGCCTCCGCCGGCCGCCTGGGCTCCGCGTTGCCCTTCCTGCTCGTTCTCCTCGACCTGCAGTACCAGGGTGAGCCGGGCCGGGGTTCCTAGGGGAGTGCGCTGCGAGGGGGGCTGTGCCGCGTCCGTCCGCGTCTCGCCGGGGTCGGGCCCGCGGCCGTGGTGGCTGGTCGCCCTCCCTCCGTCCCTCCTGCCTGGTTCTCGCTCGGGGCTGCGCKGTGTCCGCCATGGCGGCGGGGCACCCCCCGCTTTCCCCGGCCCGTGTCGTCTTGGGTGGGGGGGTAATATTTCGGGAAGGGGTGTGAGGAGCGAGGCACAGGCCTGCCACCTCATCGCTCAGGGCTGTGGCGAAGGGTGCGTAACGAGGGCACGCCGCTGCCCGTGACCTGTTGGGGTTTATTGGAGTTGCTGGCGGTGCGGTTGGCGGCTCGCTGTGTKTGCGCTTCGCGCTTCCCGGCCTGCTCACGGACGGGCTGAGGCTTCTGCCAGCCACTGGGAGGGCTCGGGTGCCGTGGTGTCCTCCAGGGCAGCTGTGTGACAGCATGGGCCGTTCTGTGCTAGGCGTGAGTTTCTCCCTCCGGTGTGGATTTTRTGTGGTTCCCAAGTTCAGAGGCTTCCCCAGTGGCCCTTCTCGGCCGCAGCCAGTATTAATGCCATACTTAGAGATTCACTGAAGCTTTTGATGGTTACGTTGAATTTGTTCCATTTTTGTTTTGTTATTATGGTTTGGTTTTTTTTTTTTTTTTTCCACCATTAGTGTTTGCAGTTCAGCTTATTTGCGCTTTGTGCAGCTTGTTTGCATTTGTAGTACACTGTCCGCAACACCTGTGTAGCCAGACTTTTATTCACCGGCTTCTGTTAAATTTCTGACTGTTATACAATGGTAGTTACAGCCAGGGTTTCACATGAGGGACATTCTTTACCTTCCAGTGGCAGATGGAAGATGGAAGCTGTCAGTAGTCAGAAAAAGTCTATGGGCGTAAGAAAGATACAGGTTAATATTAAAAATTCATTTGATACACTGAATTGTAGTTCAGCTGGCCAGGTGGCAACAGGAACATCCCGTGGCAAAGACTCTCTGCATTAAGTCATGTACTGTGGTGTCGAATTGCCTTCTTTTTTTAATATGCATTCTAACAGTGTTAGAAGAAAATAATAACTTTTGTCAGAGTATACAGATTGTGGCAGTGGCGCTCCTACTGAGGATTCTTTATTTAGAGTTGCCAGCCTATTTCAAGTAAGTGGTTTAATGGCTATTTGGGTTTACCACATTTCATAATTTGGGGGACRTTTTCTTAACTTCAGTTAATAAATATGTAGAGTACAGTAATAGAATGAGAAGTGTAGTACTGGATCTTACTTRTTGAATTTACTAACCTCTTAATAATGAGTTAATTTTTCAGAACGTGTAGTTTAAGAATTTTTTGGAGGGGATTATGTTATTTAAGTACCTAAATTCTCTCCCCCCCCCCCGAATATTACTGGTCTTTGAACACAGAGGTGTTCATAGTTGCATTTAAATATTTGTGTCTTGATGTCTTGCTAATAGAAGTATGTCTGGTGTCATCTGGTTCACGAATCTGKGGAAAAGTCATTTTATATTAACTTTGTATCTTACAATTTATGTCAATGTGTACTATTTATATCTGGCTGGTAAGTACACTCAGTAAAAACGTTTTTGATTCTTCCTCTTCACCCCAATTTGTAATGAATTTGGCACACATTCTCTCTTGGGAGAATTCATTTTTCATTTCTGTTTGTCCACACTAATCACAACAAAAAGTGGTGACTGAGGAGGAATAGAGTGTTGCTCATTTCCCACTGTCCTTCCTCGTAGTAGAAGAAAGAGAATGTATTATGGGGAAGAATAAATGGTTCAGAGTATACAGAGCTCAGTTAGTTACTGTCAGACCACAAGCATTAAGTGTTGCTTTTCCTCCCCCCCCACCTTTTGTTGTTGTCATAAGTTTGGGAGCTTTTTTTGGTTTTTTCTTAGCCCCAAATAGCCAAGCCTACTTGGGGGCGGGGCTTTTCTGTCTGTCAGTCTTTGCCGTATTTGCCAACTTCCTTTGCAAACRAAAGGATAAAAACTTGATGGGTGGAAGTTACACACAGCTCAACTAGATATTCTGAGGCTCCTTGTGAACCTCAGAAGTGTTGCTTGTGAAAACTGKGGTTGCTTGTTCACATCTTTCTTACTTCAGTGTAGTTCTTGAAAATTGTATTTGCCAGTATATCTAAAGCAAAGACCAAACCTGTTTAAAAATAACAGCAAACTTAAGGTTCAGGGTCATTCTGATAAAAAATGTTGCAAAAGCAGATCTCCCACTCGCCTGACAAGATAAGGCAGTCATTTAGCTCTTCTATGGGGAAAAAAAAAAGGTTCAGATGAATGTAATTAACATTAGTGGCATACATGCTGCTTCTTTATCATTGAAACAACTTGTTTTGGTACACAGTAGGAACTAATTCTGTTTATCTTTATAGTCTTTTTACTGAGCTTAGGAACAAGATTTAGAAAAAAGTAAGTAGAAATTCTCCAGTGAGGGACAAACAGGAGCATGTAGAAAAATGTAACATCTTGAAACTATTCTCAAGTTGCYGAACTTTCTTGAATTTTTTACACTGTGGATATGACCAATTATACAAAGTCTGTAGACTTAGGTACCTGCATATTAGCACCAAATATTCTAATGAAACAAAAATCCTACCAGGAAGTTATAAGTTATTTGAAATGAATGTATTTAACTGGAAAAACAGGTTAGCTGCACCTGCTTATCTTCCCTGTACTTTTTGATTGTTGTTCTTTGAGTTGTCAGGGYTAGTACCAGTTTTCTGGGTATAGTTTAGGGGTTTGTGTTTGTTTGTTTTTGTTGTTGTTGTTCTTTTTGTTTTGTTTTGTTTAGGTTGTTTTGTTGTTTTTTTACTCTTAGACTCTTGCATTGGTGCAAAGACCACAGACTAAATTTATCCAGAATATTTKATTTGATCTGACAACTGGTGCTCATTTGTATGGTTGTCTGAGGCCSTAGATAAATACTTAACAATTAGGCAGACTTTAGAAATTATATTYGAATTAAAATACTTGGAAATGTTTAAAAATAAATGGTATGCTTGCATAACTCTTGTGTAAATTTAGTTTTTTGGGGGAGCATACAGACCTCCTTCAGCTGGGCCTTGGTATCCAGCTCGCCTATGTGTATCTCTTGGAAAGAGCTCTTTGGGGTGGGTTTGGTGGTCTTTTTGAACCTAAGAACTTTAGTTCTTAGGTTCATTTCCAGACTAAAGAGTGCATAGATATCCAAATAGGTTGCAAAGAATTTGAGTCCTTGGACTCCTGTGCTTATGTTATCAGTTTTCAGACGTCTACAGTGGGCTGCTTTATTTAGAGCAATTKTTTGCCTGCATCCAGAAAATGAATAAGCAATAGATTTCTGTGAATAAACAGCCCGACTGTCAGGTCAGTGCAGAGTGTTCCTGAGTAGTTTTGGTAAGTGTCACTTTTTATCATGGTTAGGCTGATTATATAGGCTGCTTCTGGAGATTCATGCATCAATTTATGATCTTCAGCAACTTGCAGAACCAAGGTTTAATGTATGGTTTAACGTACATCAAGTATAATTAGTCTTATTTTGCAGGGAATCTACAGAACTTCACAGTTTGCCTTCTTCATTTATCTATKTTGCTCCTTCTTCTATTACTTGTTTGCTATCAGTGGGCATCTTTCTCATTTACTTTATTAATTGTCTTCATTATTTCCAAGGGAAAAAATGGCTCTTCTGCCTAAAATATTATGTAACTGTAGAACTGTACTGAACATAACGTGTTTGAAAGACACCAAATCATCTAGGTACATTTTATTATGGAAAAATGTATTCTTGGAGCTATCCTGATGTGACTGAATGTAAAACAAGGATGCTTCTTCAGATGCTTAAGACTGGGAATTCAGTGTCATGTTTGAGTGGAAGGAAAGTTCATCGAATAGTAATTTACAACCCACTACTAGGATACCTCTGCAAACGGRCAATTTTTGAAAGATTTCAGATATTTGTGTGTGAAGGGACACAGGAGAGATCAAACTTAAGAATTTTTAGTTGGTGTTAGATCAAGTTAAATACTTCAGTCTGTTTATATTTTGATACCTGCTTTATTGCTAGCATACTTCCAAAGCCAGGGAGATTTGTTGTGAGGGTTTTTTCCAGTTATGAGTTTTTCCATTGTGTGTCCAATGTCATTTTAAAGAACATTGGACTACTTGATGATTGAAGCTTTAAGTTAGAGAAGCAAAATGGGCAAGGAAGAATGTCCCTTTTTTGCTGCAAATTGGGCATTCACATGAAATGGAAATGCATTTTTCACACACCTGGAATTGGCTTTGAAATATGTCATCTAGTAAAACCCTCAAATAATCATATGATAAATAATAGCTATTTTAACTTAATTTACTTAAACAAAAATATTGACTGGAAATTTGGGAGTTACTTTATGAAGTCATTGTCATTAATTAAAAAAAAAACACATTTGCTTGCTGTCATAATTCTAAAACAAATAATTGAATGGGAGCCCTGTAATCCAGCTTGCTGAATTATTATCAATCTTTTAGCCGGTAGAAATTTCTGTAGTGGATACAGAGGGGATTTTGTTCATTTTAGTTTAGACAGTTCAAGGATTTTCTTATGATATGGAATTAAAATAATTATGAGCTGTATTATGGAGTAGAAAAGAAAAAATAATTAAGATCGCAGGTTTTGAGAGCTCCTAGGTTTAAAATCATGATGACTCCATGATAAGAAATTATTGTTCTTTCGTTATAAATACTTTGTTGTTTAACCGTCTTTCAGTGTGAGAAGTTTGGTTATACTTTCCTTCAATCAGTTGTACTGTAACATTTTTATTCAGATTCTAAGAAACAGCTTCAAAGTGCTGCTGCATTTTTGTATTTAAAATTAATTGAAATGCCTGTCTGAATTAGCTCAGTGCAAAACCTGAGTGAAATAAGTTATAAATCATGGGGTTTTAATGTAATGTGCTTATTCAGGATTTCAGTATATTACCTTGCTAAAGTTTAGGCATAGGGTATCTTCTTAATAAAAAAAATTGTCTAGTGTGAAAGTTTTTTAATAGTCGTAGACTGGTGAGTAATTTGTAGTGAAATTTTGCTCTGATCTGAAGACTTCTGGAAGCAGGGCAAATGAAAAAGCTGTTACTGAGTTGATGCATGTACAGCACGTACTTGCACTCGACTGCTCATTTCTTCTCAACAATAGTCTTTCCCTGTTGGCTGAGCAGCAGCAATTTATTAGCTTTAAAATCAGACTGGCACTTCAAAGACTTTTRCCACTTAAGTATGGTTTTCATGCTACTGGTTAAAGGGAAAAGGAGTGAGAATTTGAATTGTTTATGTCAAAACTTGCACTCCTGTAGACGTTTGCCTTGGGAATTATGAAGATGAGACAGRAGTGCAGTAGATGAGAATTCAGTCTCTAAGTAGCTAAACAGTTCTCAGTTAAGTACTAAGTTACCATCAGGGTCATGGCATTTAATGTGGAGCCTTTGTGTATTTGCTGCACGTGTGTTATGAGTTCTGTTCCAGATTCATCTGAAATTGAAAGTCCACATCAAAATGTTGTCAGTCAAAGTAAGTTTTTGAACGTGTAGGTGCATATTTGGTGCCTTGTCACAATGGGGTACTTTGTACTTTGACACATCCTAACTGGGACATACTATGAGATTATTTGGCTGCAGGGTGCTTTACAGAATCTCAGAATCCATTAGATTGGAAAGACCTCTTGAGATTATCTAAAGTACAGGAAGATGTGACTTCTGCCTCTATTCATAATAGTTTCTTACATGGATTGTACTATGGATTGTACTATCTTACATTCTTACATGGATTGTACTATCTACTTGTATGTGTTTGGTATAACCAAACTGGTCATTCAAAACCTTGACCTTTTCGTCTTTCTTTAAGGAGCTGAGTGTGGAATAAATGCAGAAGTAGAAAAACAACTTGAAATGGGAAAGAAATTATTGGCTGCTGGACAGCTGGCGGATGCCTTGTCTCACTTCCATGCAGCTATAGGTACGTATCTCAGGGAGTTGRCTCTTGTACTGAAATAACTTTGGATGAGTTTTTCCTCACTGTTTGCTTCATTAAATATCCTGCTTTATTGCAAATTGCATTCCATGAGTCACAGAAGTTGGGCCACCTTTATACAGCAGTTTGGACAGGAGCCAGCAGAGATGTAGAATATTTATACTTTGGTTTTGATAAAAGAAAACTGTTAAATTAACTACATGATACATAAACATGTATGTCACTGTTTTTTGCTGGAAGCTAGCTGTATGAAAGGAATTATAATTGATTCTGGTATCTTTTGACGAAGTATTCCCTGTCTGTCCAATCCCATCAGGATCAGGTTTTATCTTCATKATTTTTTTCAGAGTATGTCTTTGAAAAGATGACTTTATCCATGCTTTCTTCTATCCAGTGTGGTAAAAAATTAATTGTTTAAAATAGCTAGACTGACTCTTATTTTTTCTTAATTAAGTCTTGAAGTGGGTGGTATCTCAGTGAAACTGATACTGCTAGTTTGAGATACTGAACTGGTAGTGGAGAGCAAAATTGTCTGTCTCTTGAACTCAGCTAGTGAGTTTGTTCTTGTTTAGTTCTGCATTTTCAATTAAAAAAGGCATTAAATGTTCACTTTTAAGAATTTTAAAGCAACTTAGCTGATTAAATACCTTTAAATGAAGCAAAGAAGACACCACCAGTAAAGAGCAGGTCCATTAACACTACAGTTTCTTAATTGCTTGGTGGTTTGTTTTTAAGCTGTTGGACTTCATTGTAATGTGTRCAAGTGCATTTTTTTCTTTGTGAAAAGAATAATACCAAGATGTACTCTTGTGTTATATTGATCGGTCATACTATTATTACTTTTTTATTTATATACCTTGGTTTAATAGTGAGATGTAAATGAAATATCAGTTGATTCTAAGTTATTAATATTTTCTTTGCATTCTCCAAGATCAACTTCCCTTACAAAAACTGAGTGGAGGGGCAGCTTCCCTTTTTTTCTGTTACGGAAGCTCCTTATTCCACCTAGAGGCAGTCCTTCTGTTACTGTGTTGTTGCCAAAGCATTTTTGTGGGATCTGGGCATGGTTAGTGCTACAGTGTGATTTTTCTCCTTTATTATGGGTTGGCAAAATTGAACTTGGATTTGATGAGGGGACCAGTTCAGCCTGTGGCTGTGCAGTTTCTGGTGATGCTGCAGAGGCAGCGGTGGTGTGAGGTKGGATGAGCAGTGAGGTGCCTGCGTGGCTGAAAGCCACTGCTTTGCCAGCTGTGCTTGAGCAGCTTGTAGAACTATGGTTTGACCACCTCAGTTGTGACCTTTAAGGGATTCTTAGTTGGATGCTRGTTTTAGCCCGATTGCCTCATTTTCATCAGACTTCTTTTCAAAAAGGCAAAATACAAAGAAAAAGATTTTAAGCATGATTGGACAACTGCGCTTATGAGGAGACAAGAATGCCTTTCTGGTTGTACTGCATCATTATATACTGTGAGGTAGATAGAYCTTCCTGTCTTGCCTCAGCCAGTCTATTTTTGTGCTTTTTGCAAACATCTAAAATAGAAGAAAGCTACTGTACTGTCCATATTATCTCTCTTCAGTTAAATTTTCAACTCTTTCTTCAATCCTATGAAGTTGACGTCTTATGCCTTCTGGCTGGGTAGGTGTCAATTGCTGTTCATTACTGTTACCAGAGTAGTGAGGCAAAACTATGTGTCAGATAATAATTTGGTGCTGGAATGTGCTTTCTATGTTAGCTCTTTTCTACCTTTCATCCTCTATGTATTAATAAAGTTCCTTAGTTTTAGCTGTCAATGTCGGCCAGCGATTGAAAGTAAAGCATTAGTATGTAATGGCTGTTCTCCTGTATAAAGTATTTCTGTATTCTTTATTGTTAAATAATTAAACTGCATAGAAAATACTGCTTGCATAATGTTGTAAATTTTATGGCTTATTAATGTATACTGTTGTTTCCAGTGACTTAAAAGTCAGATACTGTATTTTTAGCCATTACAGTTCCACTGTACCAGAAATTTCAGTTGCTTTAAGATAGTACTCTGATTACTGTTTGTTCATTTGCAGAGGGAGACTCTGATAACTACATTGCTTATTACAGAAGAGCCACAGTGTACTTAGCCATGGGCAAATCTAAAGCAGCAATTCGCGATTTAAGTAAAGTGGTTGAATTAAAGCAGGACTTCACATCAGTAAGTATTAGTGAAATTGAAGATTGTTCAAGCGTAAAAAAAACTGCTTCAAAGAAGGYTTGGAGTTTTTTTAAGAATTTGCTCAGCAGGGATAGAGGATTCATTATCCCTCAGAGGTCTTTAAAGAGGATAAAATAATAGCAATGGTGTATGTGCCTTAATTTGCACCTATGCTGAGCACAGTCTAGCCAGTTATTTGAGCTAATAGTTTTACCACGTTCATGGATTTATGCTAAACACTTCTCTKGCGGATATTCTGTCATTCACCAAGGCTATGGCATTTGGACAGGGAGAAGAGGGCACACAGATGCCTCTGGGGCTTTTTTCTATCTTAATCGGCATTTGATTTCAGGTATCTCTTCTCCACAGGAACTGTCCTCATCCCACCACCTTCTTGTGTGATTGTTGCATGTTCTTATTTGCTTATTCCTTTGTCACGTCTCTGTACTGTATATGGAGACTGCCTCACTGGTTGGAAGCTGATGCTGGAGTCCTCTCCAACTGATTCTCTCACCTCCTTTTTTTTGCAGGCAGTGGCATGTCCTGTATAGATTACAATAAAAGAACAAAGGTTACRTTCACCGCTGTATGAAAATATTATAAATAAAAATCTCCTAAATCATTAACTTACCTTTTTACATAGCTTCTATTACTCTTGAGAGTTTAATGAAATAATTAAATGTGGGAAAATTGTTTATTATTTCTGCTATTTACTTAATCTTTAAGCAGTTATAATCAGGAAGGTGGTGTGAAGTCAACAYTCACTTTGATATATGAAACTTCAAATTATTTCTTTCCATCAGTTGCAGCTGCTCATAAAAAKGTCTGCTTTTTGTCCCTCAGTTCTGGTGCATAGCAATCCTTTACCATTAAAAAGGCCTTATAAGAATATTATTAAATCAAGAACAAAAAAGAATGAATGTCATGATCTGTTTCAGCTACTTAACTATACTAAAGTGAAACTTGTGTTCCTACTTCGCTCAATTCCCATTTGTATATAAAAAGTTATGTTTTATTTCAGGCAAGATTACAAAGAGGACACTTACTGCTTAAGCAAGGAAAATTTGATGAAGCAGAGGATGATTTTAAAAATGTGGTAAGTTTGGAGACCAGTGTTGAACTGTATCACTGCTTTTAAGGTTGGGTTAAGGTCACATCTCAACTCTGATGCTCTATAGAGTATATGGTATCTAGGCCTGAGTGTCTTTCCTGATCTTTSAAAGTGTAGTAGCTAAGCAGCCTTGCATGAATAAATGACCAAGGAAGTTAAAGTATAGTGGTGCAGATGAAATGAGGTGTTAACTGAAGCAATGTAGCACTCTGGAAAGTCTTTTTTGCATGTACCTGACCCTTCACGATCTCTGCTTACTGACAGCTGTACTAGGAAGCAAACTTCATTCAGAAATAAGTGACATGGGAGTCAAAGTATGTATTTGAGCTCTGCTTTACACCACTGTGTTGATGTCTTCTTGGAAAATCACTAGGGGYATCAGAGATCAACCTCTGCAGGTTCCTATCTCTTTTTACTGGTTGCAAAAGAATTGTTGACTCTAAGTTTAGTCACTGAGCAGTTAAATCAGTACATTTCAGTGGCATCCCTCTGTCTTCCAATTTGGAGAGTTGTCCATCTTTTACGAATGTCTGGACAGTACTTTCTCTCCATGATCAGCAATTGTGCAGTTTCCGTATACACATAGTTGGAATTACCCACGTAAAACTCATTTGGGCTGTTTTTAGTTTTAATGAGTATTTTGTGTCACTTCAGCCCTATGCTGCGAAAGTAAAATGATCCAACCCCCCCAAAAAAACCCTTGAGAGAATATGAATCTTGGTTTCCTCTCTGTTGCACTAAATACATGCAAATGTGAGTATAAATAGGAGTCTTTCTTCATTCTTGCTTGCTCTTCAAGGTTGCTGGTTTGAACAGCTGGTGTGTCCCTTAAACCAAAATAAGAAGAGTTTGCAACGCAACAGTACTGTCTTGTTGGTTATCTTTGAAGAGAGTGATGGAAAAAGCAGTTCTGTGTTGCAGATTGCAATATTTTGCAGCTGTTTAATGGAAATCCTACTAGTGAGTGTGGATGACAAAATCTGAGTGGTTATCCTGTATGCTCTGCAGGACAGGTGGGAGAAATTGATCTTGGTATAAATGCASAGACAGTTTTTGTGGCTGTAGCAGAGCTCCAGCCGCTTATTTGGAAGTTCATGTAGCAATGGCTCTGCTGGCTGCTTCTTCCTCAGCAAGTTTCTTAGGAGTATGCAGTCTGGTAACAGCACAGCCCTGTTTGCAAATGTGGGAGAGAGTCGTTCAGCTTGGATTAACTGAGGACACACTCGCTGCAGTAGCAATTATGCAATGTCAGTGTTGATTGTGAGTTTGCATATGCATCTCTTTGCAGTTAGTGCGCTCTCTTTCTTGAAGTATTGCTTAATACTGCATATGGAATTGTTTTTCCAGTCAGCTGTCAAATATCTTTCCCTATTGCCAAACTTGCTGCAAAAATTTAGTGCTGCCAYTGGTCAGTCAAATAGTTTCAGTGCTCAGGCTTTAAATCTGAAGTAGAACAGAGTTTCTTCCCAAAAACTGATTTAGGAAAATAGCATATTRGTCCTCAATCTGACTTCCATTTTCCCTTGTTCTGTGAACAATATTGTCAGTTAGAGAATTGTCAAATCGTCCGTTTTGAAAAGCATAATTTTCAGTTAAGTACAATATATTCAAGCAAAATGACCAAACAATATTAAAGTAATAATTTGTAATGAGTTAATTTATGTGTATGGAGAGTGAATTAAATTGTGGTATATGCCTTGAAATCTTTAAGTAGAATACCTGTTTCTTTGAGAGCTTTCCCTTGTTTTCTAAATCTTTCAGATTTTGCATCCCTTTTCTTGTAGTCATGTTCCTTAAAAGGGATTTCAACAGTTTAGGAGATGCAGTCATTTTTGAGGGAGAGAAAGCAAGAAAAATTCAGCCTGTCTAAATGGAGCAGAGGATGACAGGTAAACTTCCCCAGCTTGTAAGACCAGTGGCTTCGTGTAGAACTTAAAAAAATAGTTGAAACTATTCTTCATAKATACCAGTAAACCTATCCTTTATGAAAATAAAATTCATGTCCTCAAATTCTTTCTATATAATTTTATAATATCAAGAAAAAGTTACATGTAAACACCCTAAATATCTTTTGATGAATGCTAAGCAGTTTCTCTGTATATTCCTGTGTTCTATGGCATATCAGTACTGGCTGTCTTATGAGGCAGTGCTAGTGTGAGAGCAGGCAGTGGGAATAGCTCACTGCAAAGGATTCAGGATTCTTTTTTGGGAGCAGAATCTCTTGAGATTCCAGCCTCCATGTGTTATTTTTAGCTTTTTTTTTTTTTTTGGGTACTCTGTTCTTTCCTGTTGGCTGAAATTAATCATGAGGTTTGGATAGAGGGTTTGATGGAAACTTATGCTTTCACATTTTAAGCAGTACTGCATTTCTAGAAACCTCTCCTTTTGGCTGACTGATGGATCAAGATGATGAAATTCTTTACGTGGGCCAGGTTTTCCACATGAAGCAAGGARTAAGCAGAAGTCCTTGCGTGATTTTACAAAGTTGATGCTCATAAGAGTTGATGCTATATAAGAGTAATTATTTCTCTGCTATGCCTTTGGTTGAGTGTTCATATGCTTGAATATCAAATTCCTTCTGTTTGGTTTAGTAGTTTCTGATAAATAGAAGCCATCAGGACGGATATGTGAGTGCATCAACACTCGTGTCTAAGGCCTCAAGCCATGAAAGCCTTGGAATGTTTATCTGTATGCTGATGATTTTTACTGAAAGTAAAAGGAATATTGGCATATTTTAGTTGATGGAAGGCCTCCTGGAAAAGTGACAAAAGCAACGCAAATCCTGGCAGCCCTGTGTATGTGCCTTACAGTATTGTCAGTCTTGTTTTCTAGAGAAAACAAGAAGGATTTGAGTTGGTGAATTCTGTAGAAGGTACAAAAGTAGAACAGAACTTCTGCCTTGTTTACTGGAATGTGAAGAAAGGACCAAATTGTGTTATTTCTTTGAAATTCTAATATTTTTTAAGACTATAATGTTCAAAATTTGCAGTTTATTGCAATAAATACTGTAAGTTGAGGTGTTCTAAATACACAATTCTGTCTGCCTTGGAAGAACTAACACTTCAAAGCTGGGAACGGAAGGCACAGCTTCCAGCTCCACTAGATGTCAGCCAAGACCATCTGAGCTCTGTAAATCTGAGCACTGCTTTGTTACTAAATCCTTGCCTGTTGCAAAATACATTGGATAACAGCTTTCTATGGCTAATTGATATGTGTAATAATAGTGTTTTGGATGCAGGTGGGAGAGGCCACCTTATGGCACTGTAAGTTAATCTGATTTGTTTGGGTTACTAGACAGCGTTGGGTTAGGTTTTTGAGGCTCCCTCAACCACATCAAAGTAACATTACATGTTTCCAAATACATTCCTTTGTGGTATTGTGATCAGCTGTAGCTTCCCAGCTAAAGAGTAGAAGATATTTAAACACTTTCTTGAGGTTTTCTTTCCATCTGTCTGTCATTACAGTCGTGTTACCTAATATGTTACCAATGCAGGAYTTCTAGTTGAAGCAAGGTAATTTGCAAGGTTCTGAGTCAAGTCCTTTAGATAAAATTATGCAAGAAGCTAGTTTCTTCACTGGGAGTGATAGAGAAGGATGCAAATGATTTTAAGCTCAACTTAATAAATTGAATGAGGATGATGATTTCTTTTACCTCCAGTTTTGCTTACTTGAGGGGGTCAGAGTGGGGTGTGGCTTACCCTAGGGTTTGTTTCTCTTCTTTACTGAGATTAGGCTATAAAATAAAGCAACACATACCTATAGTAAATCTGTTTTGGGCAATTACTTACAGTAACAAAGCCATTCCTGTATACTGGCTTAAGGGAATTGGATACAAGTGTGGAGGGTGGAGTGGGGTGAATGAACACTCCTTTTAACAGGTGCCTGATTGTTGTTGCTGCAAGTGAAACTGCAACTACTTTARTGTTGTAATCCAAAGGTAGCAAACCTGAAAGACAGCAAAATATACTGTACTGGGGACAGGCTCACCGGCAGCAGGGTGCTTGTCCTGCAGGATTGAGCAGAGCACAGCCTCTGGCTTTGTGCTTTAGAGCCGTTGGTGAAGCATTCAGAGGAGTGTTTGGTTTGCCTAAGACCTGTGCTAAATTCGTCTCAAGAATTTTCTCAATACTTYGCTTCCTGCTTAGACATGTAGCCTCTGCACAAGCAGTTTGTTCTGAGCTTTGCCCCCAAACTTGCTGTTCCACAGGTAAAGGAGATTGAAATGTTATTAAATATTAGCAGAAAGACAGAAAAAGAAGTAAACTGAAATTAGAGTATCAAAGAACTGTATTGTACGTCCAGCTTTTTCTTCTGGGGGCTGAATGAACAGGCTTCTTTTTGCTTTAGTTAATGTTACTGATTTAAACATCATAGAAATACGCTAATTACCTAATAAGAGCTTATGAGTGTATGTTTTCATCATACTGTAGCACACAAACACTCAATGACTTTAGTTTGAATGRTACCTTGAAAAATTTCCCTAACTGGACATATTATAGTACCTTAAGCTACTTAGGATGTTTCACTCAAGTAGTCTTTATTACTATTGAACTTGTCTCCATAGTTGTAACGTTGCTTTTCGTATTCCACTGACATGTTCTCCAAATACGTTACAAGAAACATACTGGGAATCTAAGGAGTGCAGTATTATCACAGGTTTAAATGAAAATGTAAAGCTCAACCATTAAGAGCAAAAGCTCTTAATTTTTAAGAAAAAAATGCTGAGAAATTGAGGAAGAAATCAAACAAGTCAGCTGGAACTGAAGAGTTCAGAGCTTCAGAGAATTTTGTAGACGGTGCTTTTCAAAATTACGGATACAGAAATTTGCCTCTGCTACAAGCTCCATGTTTTGGGTAGAGAGTGGATGCACAGCATCAAGGGTTTATAAGCAGAGTTCTAACCAGAAGAAAAGCTTTGAGACATTGGGAATCAGCCTACAAAGACAAAAACTCTTTGATCGCATTCCTCTCCTCTTTGCTGAAAGACAGTGTAGGGAATAAAGGAGAATTTTCAGGTCTAAGTGCAACTTGATTTTTGCTAGGTAAAATGAAAAACAGCATAAGCTTCAAAAAGATTTGTAAAGAGGAATTGAAGACAAAATGTGTGTCCTGTGCATGGTTTTGATGTTGCATTTAGTCTCTTTCCTTTCATGTACTCAAATGTCAGAACCAGGGGAGATTGTTGTAAAGGACTTCTGAGGGTTGAATTTGAATTACATTAGAGCCATAAGCACAAAGTACTTGTGTGTTTCAAGAACTCACTGGTGAAAAAAAGGGAAGAGGCCACTTTAAGATAAATGAGGAAAGAAAAAAGTATGGAGTTCTTTGAGTGACTTTAGTTCACATTCTGTGTATAGAATGCAAGATAATCCAAGTTTTTATTTAAAAACAAAAACTAAAGTCATGATGATCTGTCCCTTTTAAAGCTTTCGAAGTCATTCTGATCAGCAACAAGTGTGATGCCAGTGCTACACTAATCCTACAAATGGCATCCTGACTTTGCAAGGGAATGGCTGAGATTCTTTCTGGCCTATATGTATCTTCCCGGGTGATAGTAAAGTTGCCTGCAAGATCTCCTCTTTGAAAAGATAAACCTGAGAAATGAGAGTCCTTGGAGACAAAACTTTAGACTTGTCTAAAACTATGTAGGAAATAGAATACGTAAATGCCCGGCTGAGCTTTTCTCTGGCTGTAGCCTCTTAACTTGCTACTGTAGCCACTCTGTGGGGAAAATGTAAGAAACAACTTAACAGTAACAACTRTCTGGAACATGTTTCATTTATTTCTGTCATTTAGTTATAGTTCTTAAAGTGAGAGATGCACTTATGCCATGTGGTTATACTGTCTACTTGCTGCTGAGGTATCCAGTGTTTAATAACAGTCAATAGAGGTGAATTAATTAGGCTACAAAGGAGAGGTCCACAACTTTCAGCAGGCGATGGGGGACATTGACTGTTGTGTATGATGTGTCCAGTGGTGAATGATCAAGCATGAGGAATTGGATTTCTCTGACTGCTGACATCTTGCATTGAATCTCACAATGTTTCTTTCTTCTGAAGTTTAGAGGTAGAAATGGTAGGCTTCCAGTGGAGTTTTGAAACTAATTTTGCTTATTTGCAGCTTTAGTCAGTTCTGCATGATGTGATTATTAATGTGACTAAAAGAGATCCTTGAACAAGCATTTGAGTCTCTCTCCTTGTTCATGTTTGCAGCTCAAATCCAATCCTAGCAATAATGAGGAGAAAGAAGCCCAGACTCAGCTGACAAAATCTGATGAGCTGCAGCGCCTGCATTCACAAGCATTATCTGCCTACCAGCAAGAGGATTACGAAGCTGCTATTTCTCTTCTTGATGAAATCTTGGCAGTAAGTGTTAAGTCAAAGGGTACTGTGAAAGGAAAGTAAGAACTTCTGTCTGACATSTGTGTGTTTTTGTTTAATATTTTCTTCACTGATGTGAAAACACTTGGGTTTAACTGGTTTAGTTCTGCTGAGTACCGTGGGTCTGTAATGATGGTGGAGAGGGCTGAGCACTAGATGCAGAAGAAATCAAAATAATAGTTTGTATTAAGATATTTCATTGAAACTTCTGTTAGAGATAACATTATTGATTATAATTTCCTATTTTTCTACAATTTGGTATTCCTGGGGAAGCTGGGAAAAAGTTTTTCTGAAATCGTTGAAGTTTTGCCACATACAGGAGTTGCAGGTTTTTTTTCGTCTGGATTTTTCCTTGCATATATGCATACAGTTKTTGTCTTGAGAAAATGAAGTGAAAAAATATATTAAAAAAAAAAAAACCCACAAAATTAAAAATGCATATAGGTAGCTGAATTTTCGGCTTATTTCTTAGGTATCTGTATTTGTTGAATCTTAATTGATATAGGTAGTTTGACAGTGTAAGTGTAAATAACTCAGTCGTGTGGGCATTTTGTGTGTCATATAGAAATGTACCAAAAAACAGTTAACTGCGGTGACTCTGCATGTACAAATTAGTGCTGGTGACTTRAAGTTTCCAACATTGGAGCTTTTAGTGAAGAAAGTGCCACAGTGTGGGAATTGGTTTATGGGGGACAGTGTGGTAAAGGAGGAACGCCTCCTCTCAAGTGACAGTTTCCAAACAACTGATGAGATAGAGAATTACTTCCTTAAACCAGATTTTGGTAGGCACTTCCTTATGAGTAATTATTTTTGCCTTCAAACTTTGTGGAGCTGCATCTTAGCCACAGGCTCCTTTCTAGAGGACAACAGACAGCTTGGTCCTTGCTGTTCATTACCTCTGTTCTTTTGGGAAGATACAATAATTTATGATACTGATGTACTTTCCTGGAGGCTCAACAGACTGTCCTAGTTTAAGCAGTGCCAGTAGATTTAATTCATCTCTCTGCATGAGTTTATTGAATCATTTACAAAATTTTCAGGCCTTTGTTTTTTATTTGGGCAGGTGCATCGCAGCATCCACCAGGAAGCAGAGATGCTAATTTCATGAGCTCTGCATGCAGCTTGAACCTTATGCTATTGCAGTTGGCAAAGTGAAATTAAATGGGATTTTTCTTTTGGGGAGGAAAAGAAGTGAAGTGTTATGGACCAAAATCAAGCTTTAATTTTGATTTCTCAAGGTTTGTGTTTGGGATGCAGAGCTACGGGAACTTCGAGCAGAGTGTTATATAAAGGAAGGGGAACCAAGCAAAGCCATTAGTGACTTGAAAGCTGCTGCCAAATTAAAGAATGACAACACTGAAGCCTTCTATAAAATCAGCAGAATATATTATCAGCTGGGGGACCATGAATTATCTCTCAGGTAATCTTGCTATTTGCTGTAATCATTATAATTGAGACAGAAAATGTATAGGTCACAATAAACTTTGAAATATCTGTTGTGTGGGATCTCAGTAGAGAAGCAACTGTTGTCTAGATCTGATAAAGGGAGTTCCTTTCTAGGAACTAAGAATTGGCATTGAAGACATCCATCTTTAATCTTGGCAAGACCAGCCATCAATGGTTCCAGGCCTCTTGTTTACTTAAACAGACACCAGAGTATCTGTCCATCAGAGCTGCTTACAAGTGCTGTCTTCACTGTATTTCTCCATCCTGGAATGAACTGCTTCTCTAAACTTCCTTTGGTGGAGCCTATTTTTAACCTTAAACCTCTGTTGAATTTTAAGTTTAAGAGGCAAACAAAAAATGTATACATTAAGGTTACAAGCTTTAAGAATAAATAAAAAGTACGGGAGCATCTGAGTATGAAGAACTTGGGGTTCAGTGCTGTTTGCCTTTCATTCCTGCGGACAGTGTCCAGTATTGTGGATGACTTTTTGATAATGCCCTACCCTTTTATTCGTAGTGAGTTAAGTGTAGGGTCTTATTCCCCTATGTCCCTAGTCAGTCTGGCAGGTAACTGCCCTTGCCCAATCCGGGCTGTTCTGTTTGTGCTCTGTGCCTAGCTGCACAAATGATGTAATCATAATTTCAGATGTGCTACCTTCATTTCCAGAATCCTTCCAATATGGTTTCTGCCACTAAATCTCTTCAATAAGGTGAAGAGAAATGAAAAAGCCTGAGTTTCTTTTCTTGGTGGATGGAAACTACATGTGATTATAATTGCAAAAATTCATTTTATAGCTGGCCAAAAGTAAACACAAAAGTAATTGGTTTGCATTAGGCATCCCCTTTCCAGAGGATACTTAAATCTTGTGAGCTCATAGGTCATTTCTGTGATGACTTTTGGTAGCTGCCCATCACTTTGCCCAGTGATTTCAAATATAGGTGATATTTTTGTTATTTGAAAGTATGATTGAGAGCACTGTTGAAGAACAGAATGGAATCAAAATGAAGGGATAAGCCTCTTTCCTTTATTCTTATCTGATACTGTTATTTTTTTGCATCGTGAAAGATCCTGAGAAAGAGTTTCTTGGAGTTGCTGGTTGCATATTCTTGTCCTTTCTTTAGTTTCTTCCTCTTACAGGCCTAATTATTTTCAAATAATACAGTATTTTTGTCTGTGCTTAGGAACAAAATAATCTTCCTGAAACTGACAGTGTGATTGTGCTATGATGAGTTTATGGGATCTAAAACATTTATTCCTTCATATGATTGCATTCTGAAGGCTTTTTGGTTGTTTTTTTTTTTTCAGACTTTTTAGTATTTTAAGAGATATTTGCCCTAATCAGAGTCTGATTTAAACATTCTTCACAGTGAAATGTCAGGCTTAGGCTTGGCTGATTCCATCAGGGAGGTTTGAGTCTTAGCTGAGCTCTATCTGTTTCAAGCAGCACAAAACACACTTCAACATAGAAATTTTGTAATATATCTGAGTTACAATTGATTGTAATTTTCCTATATATTTATCTGATAACTGCTGAATGTAATTTCTTTCCCAGAGTACTTTTTTTCTTCTGCTCTTTAATCAATTATTAATGTAACATTTGATCTTCTGTGTGTTTGGCAATACAAAAGAATTAAAACCAAAACCAGACAAAAATCCATATATGTTTTGGAAGACTCTTGTTGGTCTCACTTTATATTAATTTTCAGATGGAGAGATTATGTAAAGAAGCTAAGTGTTGTACTGGACAGCTTATATATGTTGCATTGTTTCTCTTAAGTGAAATTTTATGATATATAGTGACCTAGTTTTTTTGGTTATTTTTTCTCCCTTCTCCTTACCTCTCTGTGAAAAGTGAGGTCCGGGAGTGTCTGAAACTGGACCAAGACCATAAGCAGTGCTTCTCCCTCTATAAACAAGTAAAGAAACTCAATAAGCAGATTGAGTCAGCAGAAGAATTCATCAGAGAAGGCAGGTAAGTATTTACTGCTATATTAAAAGAAAAAAAAAACAACAAAAACCCTGCTATTGAAGCACAAGCTTACTGATTGAAGAGCATCTGATTAAAGTGATGCTTTTTGCATGTGTCGGTTGAAGTGGATAACTGATCACAGCTCTCAAATTACAATTAAAATAAATATTGACTTGCATAGCAACAATTCTATTCTGATTCCTTTTGATGCCACTGTCTCCCCCTTGCATACTTCTTTCTGCAGTAGGTAGTGAGACTAACATAGGGCTGGGAGTTTTTAGCTTTCATATATTATTATTCAGCACTGATAAGACCACACCTGAGCACTGGGTTCACTAGTATAGGAGAAATGAAGCTACTGAGGAAGTCCAGGGACATTCTACTGAGATGATGGAGGAACTGGAGCATCTCTCTCCTGCAAGGAAGGGCTGGAGTGGCTGAGAGTGTTCACCTGAGGCTTCTCTGCTACAGGGTGATTTCATCAAAGTACTGGAAGGGAGGGTGCCAAGAGGCCAGAGCCAGGCTCTGCTCAGTGGTGTTCTGTGACAGGATCAGGCCAGTGGGTGCAAACTGAAATGGAAAATTCCCTTGGAATATAAAGAAATATTTTTTTACACTGCCTCATTTCCACTGGTGCAGGTTGTCCTGGAAATTAGGGCGTCTCATCACTTCGTAGTTATGCAAAAGGATTTTGGATACAGTCATGGGCAGATTTCTGGAGTTGGCCCTGCATGAGTAGTGGGATTGGACCAGATGATCTCCAAAAGTTCTTTTTGACTACAAGTATTCTGGGACTAAAGGACTGCATCTTAAGACTAAAACCACATAGTAACTGCAGTACCTTGATGACCGAAGTGGTTCTGACTGATGGGCTTGTTTTTTCTTTTATGCACCCTGTTAAATGATAGACTGTGCCTCTGTATTCTTGTAGTTCTTGCTTTACTTCAGTTTTGTGTTCCCAAGCACATGACATTCAGCTGTAAGGACCCCTAGCAAAACACGAGATATTTTCAAGATGTCTTTTTAAATGGTGTACATCAGGAGTATGAATAAGCACAGCTGATGCCTGTTTTATTAAGCCCGCAGTCTGGGCTCTTTTCACTTATTTAATCTGGTTTCAGGGAGTCTGAGAACTTTCATTTCTTTAGCTTGTAGCAACCCACGGGTTCAATCTCACTCCTCCATTTTTAGGTAAATGTTCTTATCGGTCTCTTGCTCAAACCATGTAACTTAGCATGTTTGAGACAATCACCGCAAAATTACACTTTACTGTGTGACTTTAAAAGAAGAAGAGGAGAAAATACTTTTTTAAAGCTGGCACAAGGAGCTTTTTTGTACCTCTGCGAATAGGTACCTTTTGTACTGTGCAGACAGTGCCGTGCTCACAGCAAGACTTCAAACCAAGTCCATCTCAGGTATCAGAGGGGGATATGCTCATTTTGAAGTGCAGAGTGTCATGTTGGACGGAGGCAAATCTGGAGACCTTTGGCTGTGCAGGGTGAGGTATGGCAGTTATTACCTTCTGCAGAAGCCTGACAGACCTAGTGCCTGCTCTTTGGTCTCACAGCACAGAAAAGGGAATGGGGATGTAATTCTTCAAGTGCTTGCAAATTTTATACATACTGTTGTTTCACACCCTGCCTTTAAGGCTATTAAGGTCCTTTGCTAGAAGAATGGGAAGATCTGTAAATTTTAAGAATTTTATAAATAAATCACAACATCCTTAGATAGTGATTACATTTCATGTTATGCTTTATGATTTAAACAGGTATGAAGATGCTATCAATAAATACGATAGTGTAATGAAAACTGAGCCAGAAGTTCCAGTTTATGCTACTCGTGCCAAAGAAAGGATCTGTCACTGCTTATCAAAGGTAATTCTGCTTATCTCCCTCTTTAAATGTGTTTAAGACAAACACAAAACAAACCCCCCACAACTACCTGAATTTTGTTTTTCTTTTTCATGTCTAGAATCAGCAGGCTACAGAAGCCATCAAACTTTGTACAGAAGTTCTGCAGCTGGAACCAGCCAATGTGAATGCCCTGAAAGACAGAGCAGAAGCTTATTTGCTGGAAGACATGTATGAAGAAGGTACAGTTGTATGTTATTGGGATACACTTTATTGTGGACATTTAAAATGTATTCAGCATTTCAAAGCCCTTTTTTTAACATGCACTTTGATTCTAATTCTACACTGTGTTTTCCTTAATTAGCACTGGTAGTTGCAGATTTACAAAAATACTTGGTAATTTTGCCTTGATTAGTGTAAGTGGAATGTACTTGTTTTATCTACAGCAGAGTTGTCTTTACAACGGTGGACTGTGTTCAGGATGTTTTATGAGGCTGTACAGTTTACTCAACTCAGACACGTTTTATATAATCAGCAATGTCAGAAAATTGCATTTAGAGGTAAAAGTTATTTAAGTTAGGGTGATGTAAATCCATTTTAGGAGCTCCATTTTCATGTCTTGAGATGGCAGCATGAAACAATGCTGTTCCATTCCCTAGCATGTGTTGAGGGCAGAGGAAGTTAACAGCCATTGCTTCTCGTCCATGGATCTCAGTAGTGTTGCTCAGAGAATAAACTGATTCTATTCCTGAGGTTGCGTTTTCTATCTAGAGTCTCTGTACAATGCATCCTATTACATGAAGTGATAGAAATGACCTTTACGATTATCAAATCCAACCATTAACCCAGCACTGCCAAGTCCACCACTAAACCATGTCCCCAAGTGCCACATCTACATCACTTTTAAATACTTCCGTGAAGGGTGACTCACCTCTTGGAGGAAAGAAAAGTTTTGTAACAAGCTTCTGCACAAATGCAGAGAGCCAATCTGGTCTTGTGCTGGAGGAAATGCCTCCCTGTTATGGGATATAAGGAAACAGAGAGAACATACCTGGGAACCGGGAGAGTTTATTTCCCGGTGTCTGCTGGGCTTGGCCTAGACTGGTTCCAAGTGAAGAGTCATGCTAGAGCAGAACTGTGCTTCTCCAGGTTCTGTAGCATCTCCTGTGCCTTCCTGCTGCCCTTGACAGTAGTGAGGTGGTTGTGGTTATACTCTGCCTTCCAGCAGAGCCTCCATCAGCAGCATTACAGCCCATTAATGTTCATCTGCCTGAAGATGTCTTCATTTATCCTTCAGCTTTAACTGCACTGAAATGAGGGCTGATTTCTCTTAGCTACAGAGGACACTAGAGCGATTAAAATTGCAGTCTTATATTTAAAAGGGCAAACTGATTCTCATTTTTCCCTCAAAAAATTTTCTAGCTGGAGGCACCTATTTTCCTTCTAGAGATAGGAAATTTCAAAGTACTTGTAGTTCAGAACTTTGAAGGTGATTATTGTTAAGTGTTCAATATGTGGTTCAGTATCCGTAGCTGAGTTCATCAAATGGTTTTAATTACTTCATAATCAGATGGGATCCAGGGTTTGTCTACAGAGACAGATGTTTAATGACTCCATTTCTGGCATACCTCATGAGTGCAGGAGTCTGTCTAGAGCACAGGTTTTGTCAAAGAAGGAAAAGAACTACCTTTCTGTTTCAAAATTGGTCAAAACATACTAATTTATTTCTTTTTTCTTTTCTTCCCTCTCCACCCTACTACTGTAGAGGTTTCAGTAAGAGTGAAAACTGAGTCTATTATTTCTCGTAACAGTCTTTGCATGGATGTAGGTTGTCTACAGTTACTTGTGTTTGATGAGAAATTGGCCATCATTCCCCATGCAGAATTAATCTCTGTCTCCGTTTTGATAATGCAGGCGAGATACTGAGATACCAAAGCCAGCAAAGTTGTTTAGCAGTATAATGTGATTACCTTCTGAGAGATTATGGATACTCTTGCATTGAAATAATGAGAGTTAGATTTGACTGAAGTATTTAAATTGAAAGTGACTCGGGGAAGTAGTTGTTTCTCTCATGTAGTGGAGCAGGATGAAAGGAAGCTTTCTGAAATAGCTGGCTGAAATGAAGCAGCAGTGGCTCTTCTGTTTGTGAGGTACTCCTGCTTTTAGAAATAGTGACTCAAAAGAGTTAATATCTCACTAGACATACTAGAAATTAATAATAAGTCTCCTGGTTTCCTAGCAAACTTTCTGTGGTCAGGAAGCTGCCATCTCACTCCACCTGCTTCCAACTCCCCATCACCCCTCAGGTGGAGAGAACAGTTAGCTCTCTGAAAGAACAAAATCTGGGAAAGTACCATCAAAATTAACAAGAGAAAGTACAATGTGTACTTGCTGAGTGTGCTGGATGCATTCCCTCTGCAGTGTGCTGCACTGAAACACCTTCCCCTGTGTTAATGCTTGCAGACCYTAAATAAGGAMGTTCTGGCGATAYTGGCATGGCAAGTAGTTGAGCCCCRAGCAGGTTTCCCACACTGGGGGTGTAGGTGATGTAGTGCTCAGTGAGGCTGAGCAGTCTGACCTGTGTTTGGCAAGACGTTCTGGTGGCACCTCTTAGTATTACCTGAAGCAGATTAGGTTCACTGGTGCTTAAAACTAATGGAACAATAAAGCAGCATAATGAAATCCCTGCATTTTCACTACTGTTACTAGTTTTATCAGTGTATGTTTGGCACATGTATTAGTGCACACTCCCGTTTTGGTTTTTTTTTTTTTTTAAATAACTGGACAAATTATTAAAAATACCAGCAAAAACGAAAATGCTTTGTTCAAGCAACAGAAGTTAGTGTCCTGTGATATGAAAAATAATAGAAGTTTTGTTTGGTTTGTAGTAACCTAGGAAATTGTTGAGACTCTGGCAATGCTTTTTGGTATATGTTTTTTTTGTCAGTAACGGAAACAAGATTGCAGTGCTATCAGATGTCTGGGTAATACAAATTCATTAGCTCTTCCTGCTGTCTTGCTCAGAAACAGTGAAAAACAAATGTAACACCTGCTGAGAAATAGCATCTGCTTGGAAATAATCTGATGCAAGTACTTTGTCTAACTTGAGAAACCTAAGAGACTTGGGTCTGCGAATGAGACCTTGAGGATTATAACAGTGAAGGAAGAGCAGTTTCATTAAAGAACTTCAACTTGCTTCCTTTGATAAATTTTGATATTAAAGAATATATAAACTTGGCATCTTAAGCACTTGCAATAATAATAGAATTTACTTAAAGAAGTGTAGACCTCAAATTTCTTAACAATTTCTTCTCTTGCTTTCATTCCTGAGAAATGCAACTCTTGAAATAAAAGTGAGAAACATGCCTGTGGGAAAAAATGTAAATGCATATTATGCATGCAAAGGTGTAAAAAAGCCGTTATTTGCCTTTAGCTAACAGTATGAACTTAGTGGTAGTCTGAAATCTGTCTTTATAGTCATTAAAGAGGAAGAGACTTTGTGTTGATTGAATGCAGACTGGGGAAGAAGAATGGATATTTAAAGGCTGGAAAATCCACCCTTCAGTTGAACAACAATGTGGGACTGATGTGCAGTGGGCGTCTCAAGTACCAGTTGCTCAGTCTTTCTTCATGGTTTCTGTTTCCTCCTCCCACTCCTAGATGCTCATTATGTTCATCCTTTTGACTGTAGTAACATCTAGAGAATGCTGTGACCCACATTGGTGACCTCCCTTCTCTTTCATTTCCCACAAGTGTGATGATGAAAGATAATTATCCTATTTATATGTGAAAGTGAATTTCCTCTATTTCAAAGTCTTCTAATTTAGGAAAAAGTGCCCAAACATAGTAGCAAGTCGAAACTAAAGTTTTGCTGTGTATATGAGGTAATAACAAAGCTTCAGTTTTGTTGAGTTGGTTGAGTTCTTTAAACAGAAGTTTGTAGAGTTGAGTAACCTTTTTACATTGACTTTTTTAATAAAAGCTATTAAAGACTATGAGACTGCTCAAGCCAACAGTGAAAATGACCAGCAGATTCGGGAAGGGCTGGAACGTGCCCAGAGAATGCTGAAGCAATCGCAGAAGAGGGATTACTATAAAATCCTGGGAGTAAAAAGGTGAGATTAATTCCAGAGAAGATGATATGAAAGTTGGTTATTTAAACCAGTACTTCTAGGGCTGATCACTTGAATTTGTTCTGCTGAGTGTTAATTTTTCTTCTGTTTCTTGCCATCTTCACTCTTCTGCTATACTAATTTTTAGTGTTTAGCTTGTAAAATAGCATTTGTTTACAATTCCTTTAGAGAGAATGGAAAAACAACAGTAGAAAGAGAGTAAATAAATTCTTTGGGGAAAAGGTTCTTAGTATACATGAGCCTAAGTCATGTGAATGAGCTGAGGAAGAAATGCAGACTAGCAAGAATTACTGAAAGTAACAAATTGTGCCAGGTAGTGTGATAGATTGTAGGAGTCTGGAAAGACTGAAAGGTATCAAAAATCCTTCTGCTATTAATCTTGAGAAACCAACAACTTCCCTTGCTAATGAGGCACAAAGCTCTCAACTAGTATTAGTTGTCCTTCCATTTGTGAACTAATTCAATCTCTGTTCTTTGTTATTCACCTCATTGTAAATTCTTCAGACTAGAAACTATTCTGCAAAGTCACTGGCAGTAGCATCTTTCCAAGGGAAAACAGGTGGTGAAGGAGAGAGTGAGGAACTTTTGTTTCAAGTTGCACTTTGCCTCCTTTGTTTTGTGTAAGAAGTCTTCAGTGCTACTGCCAGGAGGTTAACAGCACCTCATAACTTTCCTGATACCCTTAATTAGGTGTTTAAAATAAACTTCATTAGTGTGGCATACAGTTAGGAAATAAAATTGTCTATAATTTTATCCATCCAGAAATGCTCGAAAGCAAGAAATCATAAAAGCTTACAGAAAGCTGGCATCCCAGTGGCACCCTGATAACTTCCAGAGTGAGGAAGAAAAGAAGAAAGCAGAGAAAAAATTTATTGATATTGCAGCTGCTAAAGAAGTCCTCACTGACCCAGGTAATGATGCAGTGGCTTCATTTTTTTAGGTTTTTTTTTTTTTTTTTTATATCAAGGTCAAAACACAGGTGTAAGTCATAATAAGCATTAAAGCTTCCCTTTTTCCCTATGTGTCCTTACTCATCTTGAGAAAGTAGTGCACTGATACTTGTATCCAATCTATTGCATGCATGAAGTCAGATGTAAATCTGAAATTACTGTCTTTCAGTGACTTTTGTTAAAAGTCAAAAATAATATTTATTTATAAAATAAATATTGTTATTTATAAAATAACAACTGATGTATTACAGGGAAACCCTGTTATTACTGTGGTATGATTCCACCTTGGTTTTGTTTTCTCCAGAAATGAGGCGAAAGTTTGATGCAGGAGAGGACCCACTGGATGCAGAGAGCCAGCAGGGTGGCAACAACCCTTTCCACAGGAGCTGGAACACGTGGCAAGGATTCAACCCTTTTGGTTCTGGAGGAGGACCATTTACATTCAAATTCCACTTCAGTTAGAGCCAAGACTGTTTCTGGTGGCTGCTGCTGTTTTTTACTTAATTCATTGAAAAATAAAAGTCTCTCAGTTCAAGACCCAAAATCTTAATTTCTATAATGTTGTCCTTAACCCAAGTCTTACTGCACTAGAAGAAAGTTCCTCCTTTTTTTCATTGGGTTTGCTTTGTGATGAGCGTGACAAGCTCACACTGATAGGGGTTGTGCTACCTATGTATTTGCTGTGGATATGCAGGACATGTTTATTCATATGGATGRAAGAAACAGTAAGATGCTACTTAGGACAACACTTAAATTTACAACTCAAGTATATGCTTAGGGATAAAAATGCATGTAAATATTTTTCTGGATTGGGGCGTAATAAACATGGCAAGAATAGTTACAGTAGTCTCAACGTTAACAAACTGTTGGTTGTACTCAGCAGAATGATCCATCTCCCAGTATTTTTGAGAGAAAATGAAGTGACCACCTGCTGGATTGGTTTTGGCAGTGCCATAGGTGGGGAAGAGGCTGCATGCTGAACCAGTCCCAACAATTGCTCTGGAAAAAGAGTGCTCGGGAATAATTGTATCTGAAATATCTGCTCACTTTGTTGTTCACTAACCTGAAATTAATTGGGGTGATTTCCTTGGTGCAATTGTCAGCAGTGAGGTGGGGGGGTGGGGGGAAAGACTTGTTTTTCAAAATGCTTCTTTTCTGACTGTGATTTGGGCTTTTTTGTTTAGGTATGATTTTTGAGTAGTTTGCACTTTAACAAAATACCTGCTTGAGATTTGAGCAGAAGATTTGATGTGACATTTCCCTGACTCTGCAGCAATTTGTTAGTTCTGTACATAGACACTGAACTGAGACAGGTTGTGAGGTGAGTCTACTACAGGAATGYGATATTAACTCCAGCCTTACCCTGTAATACAACTTCATTTCTGCTGGGTGATGCAACAGGGAGTTAATACTACATGAAATTGTAGTAATTTTATATTTCGTGTAACAGCCACGGTACTGCAGAGACAGCTCTGTGCAGAAAGAGGGACTCACTTCCTACTAGCCAAAAGTCTGTTTTTTGTTTTTTTTCTATATGCACGTACTTAAAATGGGTTTGGTGTAGTTGGTGGAACTGTGTGAATGTGGTGTGTGGTGTTACCAGGGATGTGGCTGGCASGAGTGAAGGAATCTTCTCATTCTGTGACTGCATCTGTCATAATTACTGATGAGTTTCATCAGCAGCCATTTTCTTGGAACACAAGAATTACAGTTCATCAGTGTTCTCTTAATTGGATTTTAACTGGAAAATAATAATCAGTTGATAGGAATCTTCTGTCACTTCAACTTGTGCCATTTGAAAACCTAAGCAGCCTCAGTAAAACAAATGAAATTAGTAAATAAGGCCTTCAGTCTCAAAGGGGGGTTTTTAGTATTGTAGAAGCTGCGGTTGAAACAAATACCTTGGCTCCTGCCTCAAGTACTTCACCACCATAATTGCRAGGCCCTCTGGCTTTGTAAAATGTTTTTCAACAGTAATTTAAAGGTCAGTGTTCACAAATTTATCTTCAAACTGAGGAGCATGTGTGGTGATTTCTAACAGCTTATGGTACAAAACCACCCCAGCAGCCTGTTAAATACCAGTGTTGGATGTTCCCCAAGTTGAATGACTTTCCACAAGTTCAGCTTGTGCTTTTGACCTGTTGGAAACATTTTTGCTTCAACTGTTGGAGGTGTTCAGGGCTCTTCTGAATGCTGAGGCTGGCATGACTCTCAAGGGCTGCGTGTCAGACACAGGAACTCTGCCCACTGAAGAACCTGAACCCCGTGGGCTTGGCCTCYGTGCCCCTGCTTCTTGCTGGTGGGCAGGTGGCTGWGGGTGGGTGGCTGTCCTGTGTCCTCCTGCGGCTCTTGTCAGCCTTGTGCCTCTGAGGGCTGAGCTGGGCCCCGTGGTGCTGGCTCCCGGGTTCTGTGTGTGTGTGTGAGCCATTGGAACACTTCTTTGTATTGCCTTGATCACTCCAGCAGGGGCATTTTGAATGAGTGTTGCATGACCAGTGTGTCCAGTTTTGTACATACAGGAGTGGCTGCGAAGTCCCAGTAAAGGCCACAGCTGTGMTTCTGTGCCAGGGGGCTGCTTGGAATGAATCTTCTTTCAAAGGACTGCCCTTGTTCAGCTTTAAAAGCTTGAGCTGAGAGAATTTTCCTGGGGTTTAWTTTTTTTTCTAGAGAAGGAGTAAGACATTCCCTCATGAGTAAATACTTCACACAAGGCACTGATGTGGGAGCAGTGTGGGTTTGTTTCTTGGAGGCAGTAGGACAGTTCTGCTGTAGGCCGGTAACATTCAGGAACAAAAAAGTACCATGTGCATTTTGAAAATGAATAGAAAAGGGAAAACTACATTTTACGAACAAAAAGGCTTGAATGTAGTGATTAGAAGAAAGAAGATGATTAATGCATGATTGCTGTTCATAGATTCCCTTTGTAGAAGACAGGTTCTTGGAAACAATAGCARAAAGCGACAGTGGAGAACAAGGCTTTCCTAGTACTGAGCAGCTGCCTTTTACAAGAAGTATTCCCACCCTAATAGTGTTTTGAAGGGTGTTGAGGTATTCCGGAAACACAGGCAGACAAARTTGTGTTAGAAAGAAACCATTTCTATTGCAAGGCTCTCCAGCTACAGTGCTGCATTTCCTGATGTGGTTCTGGAAAATGAAGCGCTGGTACCACGCTGAGTGTTAATGGTGCAGGCGACAYGCAAGGAAGCTGAACTCGCCTTTTTATTTATTCGTGGGTGTCTGTAGTGCAATAACGTTCAGGAACTGAACATTGAAGTAAATGTCTCGGTMGTTTGTCAACCCTGAGATGTGCATGAAGCATCATTACCATAATTGGCCTGTGTGTAGATGCAAACTTTCTCTGTGGAATTCTTTCAGTTTTAATAAACTAGTTTCCAACTTGCTTTAAAATGACAGTGGGGGGGAACATATTTTTTCTTGGTACAGGCTTAATACTGATGTATTATCARTCAGTATTAAAAGAAATTAAAAGTGAATTACAGACTGAAGAACTCAAACTTGTGACATATACAGAAAATGTGTCAGCTTAAACCTTAAAAAACCAGAACCTTAAAGCTTGTTATTTTTTCAGTTTTCAGACCAGTGTTTGGAACAAGAATTATTCTTCTGTTTAGRGCTGTGATTTATAGGAGCTTTGCTGGAAACTAGCCAGGATAGCATAGCAGGTTAGTTGTATTTAAAAGTGCCTTATTGTAAGGTATTGTTTGCTCTGTAATACACACTTTTATCCATTAAGCTATAACAAAATAAATGGGAGAATAATTTTTTTTTTGCCCTCAGCAAATCACTAAGTAGCAGTTTCATGTTTTAAGAAGGATAAGTAAAGCTAGCCAGAGATTTATCAAATGTTTCAAATTATAAAATGTCTTTATATGGAATCATAAATCTAAAACACAAGAACTGTTTTTTCTAGAACTGTGGGAATTATTTTATGGTATTTTTCACAATAAAGATATTTATGACAACAAGAAAGCACTGCTGTGTATTTGTCTTCCCTTCTTTCTTCACCCTGCTTTCCAGGTTTGAAGTTAGAGCTGTGCATTTCTGCAGGCAGGGGAGGAGGAAGCAGCCACATTCTGTGTGAAAGAGAACCTCAAATACRTAGGAGTCAACTACAGCAATTGTAGAAGCCCTCTGGAATGCTGATTTCACAATGAGAACAACTGCCCTTGGAATATCCCCACGGAAATGGTGCATTCTCCAATGCTGGACACTAGGATTTGCCTGACAGGGTGCTGGGTGATCTTGTTTGGACCATACTTTTGGCAGCGAAGGCTGGACTGGGTGATCTTTGATGTCCCTTCCAATTTGGTATCTATGATTCCATGAAGTCTCAGTCTGAAKGCAAGTACTTGATTCAGGGAACAGGCTAAAAGGAACCTTACTGAGAAATRTTTTTAATACAAAAGCTCTGGCTCATCAATAATACTGCACTAATGCCTGGTTGTTCATTTTCTGTTAARAGCTGATATGAAGATCAAGACATCAAAAAGACACTGTAATAGAAATACAAATTGTAAAAACCCTTCATTTGAACAGTTTAGATATTCCTTATTTACTGAATTGTACCATGTTTYGGCAACACTCTAAACTAGGATGCGTTTCCTTCCTTTTCACAGGGCAGAACACACAGATTGGAAACAATAAATATCCTTTTTCTGCACCTCTACACTTCACCCTACAACAGATGCCCATTTTGAACATTGCTATTGCTTCCCTGCAAAACCACTTTCTGTAGATTAAAGACATTTAAGGACTTGATGCCATTTTTTTTTTTTTGCTTTGGATCTATTACCCAAGTCGGGAATGGTTATTGTGTAATACAGAAAGGGAGAACAGAAAATAATATTTTTTTCTTCAGTGGTACTTTTTAATATTTTGTACAACATATACAATCCAGARATTAAATATTAAAACTATAGATACGCTAATGACTCAAAGTGCTGCTTTAAAGAGATTTTTTAGAAGTCCCACAATATATTTGTGGGACCTTTCTTATTTTATACACCACTGTATATCTCAAAAAAGAGCTTTCTTTGAAAGTAGCATTATGCAGGAAAAAAATACTGTAGAACATTTTGTACATATAAAACACCGTAGAAAAATGCATAAAACCTTTTACATCTTCAAAATATCTCCAGCAAATTACRTGTCTAAAAATTATATTCTAATCATTTAAGTAATCTCAAGGAAATAAATAGTATTTAAAGAGCTATTTCTTTTTTTAAAACCAGCAGAGGTAATCCCAATTAAAAAAAGAACAGGAAGCTACAGGGAAAATGAAATCAGTGCATGAATTACCCACTTTTTATACTGCATAACATTCTCACACACACAACCATAATCAAAGAGAACTAAGGTTTCTTAAAGAACCTTTAACTTCTGTCTTAAAGCAATTTTTTCAATGTATGCTTCAAGCATGAAATACCAAGTCAGAGTGATGTGAAATGCTGCTGCAAAGTCAGGCAGCAGGATGGAAGTAYAAGCTTAGAAAGGTATTTTGGAAAGAAAATAATGCAGTTGAATAATGGTTTGGAGGTGTTTGTCCTCTGMTATGGAGACTCGGTTATTTCCTTGTTATGCAAGGAATTTACAGTATTGTTGCATATGCATCTGCTAAGTCTGTTATGTTCAAATATGTTTGAATTGCTGCATGATATCCTGAAGTAATTAAGAGAACAAGCATAACAAAACAGKTCCTGCACTGAAATGGGACAGACATAAAGAGAACTGACATTAGGGTTTATTGACTTTTGCYATTGGGTTACACAGGAAATACTCCATTGGATACTTCACACAAAGGAAGTTCCCCAACAGACATTTTAAAATCTGTATGTGACATGTTAAAACTGTTCAAAACACATAAAGCTAAATCAACAAAAAATATAAAAAGTTGTAAAAATATCTCCATGTCTCATATTGCATAGTAATAGGACTTGAAAAATATGAGCAATGTGTGATTTTAAATACTTGCTCTTACCAACACCTGAGGACAACGACAGTGGATACAGAATAGGCTTAATTTCTCTTACTGTTTATTCAGTAATTTGCTGCTATGGAAATAATGTGCAACACATTTTTTATTCACCCACTTACTGCAAATTACCTGTTTTTTTATAATTTCAAGCATTTAAACTGGAAGGACTGGATTAAGTTGTTCTTGTAAGAATGTGTGGTCTTATCCAATCCCATTTTGAAACCAGCACAGCCTGAACAGTAGGGTATGTATCTAAGGCACTAGATTTCAGTTTGAGACATAAATTCCCCCTTTCAAATATGTGTATTTCAAGAACTTTTCAATCTTTGTGGGATCAAAATGTCCATATCCCATTAAGGCAACGGTTTTCTGAGTACTGGTTTAGAAAATTACAGGAGACACCACCACCACTGATAGTCAAAAAATACTTATTTTATTCTTTTATTTTTAGTTATAAACAGGATGATGATTATCAAAACTGAGTCGAAGCAGCTTTCAGGTATTGACCTTCTGATGCAATGTAYGGTGTTTGGAAAATCACCTCAACCAAAACCATAATGGAATTTTATCACACATTATTTGAGTGGCCAAAAGGAGTAGTTTTTAGAATTTGTAAGAGTGCAGCAATTCTGCATAAWAAAGGAGAAGTGTCATTCCTTGCTTTGGCTTCCACGTGGACTTTTCTTTGTGTGGTCTAAATTGCACACGTTATTTTTTAATAAATTCTTTCTTGTGACCACGGCACTTCTCTAGGGACAAAACTGTGAACATATAAACAAAATTCTTGATATTTAAATACATTAGCCTAATACATGTAATATGCACAAAACAATTTTCATGTACATATTTAATGTGTGTGTTCAGCCCCAGACTGACAGCGTATCTTTCTCCATATTCTAAAATCCTCTGGGCAAACTTTTTTTGAAGAAGGAAAAGAAAAGCAAAGCAATCAGGAAAGCTGCTCCACACTGGTCAAAAAACCCCAAATACCTGTGGATTTCTCATTTTTRTATTGCATTTAAAATGTTTTAAATAACACTTTTAAGTTATAAAMTGTTTGATGTCACATTAAAGAATGTTGCAAATAGTGCCAAGTAACAGTTGTAAATTCTGTTCATCCTTCCCAGAAGATCCTTGAGTTGTCACCTTTGCTGGTCATGGGCTGTGCTAAAGTTCATCGTGCTTAAGACCTATAACCAAGGAGGAACAAAATACACAGAAGAGTTACAAAAGGACAATGCCTGGGTTTGTAAAATGTGGAGAAAGACCTTTACTTTCCACTAGCTGCTGATCATCTGCTAAGCTTTTGCCTCAGCCTTGAGAGGTGAGATCATATTTTCATTTTGTTTCACATTACTCCAAGAAGTCAAGTCCTACTGGGTGTCCTGTAAGCATGTTTGGCTTTTTCTTTTTGGGTTTTGTTTGTCTGGGTTTTTCATGCTATTTAATTAAGTAATTTTAAAACAATTTTAGTTAAAACAAAAACTCCATCCAAACGAACAAAAAACCCCTGAAACTAGAAAAAGTAACTAAAACAGAATTCAGGCTGGTGAAAAAAAGCCTGGGTAGGTAAGCCTGGAGTGAGAGATGCACAGGCAAATTAACACTCAGTTAGCTACTGCTTAATAGACATGAGCTTTAGATTATCTAAGTGAAGTCTAAGCTAATGTGCTCTAATTAAATATTTGTGGCAAAAATGATGTGTGACTTGGTTGTGTTTCAGGACCAAGAATGGGACACCACTGAACTTTGCTCCTGGATTCTGACATGGAACAAGAGCTTTTGTCCTCTCAGTGTAACTCCTGTGTAAAGAAGCATCACACA